GCTGCGGAAGTGTGGGCCAGCAGGCACCCTCAGGCCAGGCTCCTCCTGGATCATAGGCAGCTGACGTCATTTTCACTAGTCCTGCTTGAAAAACATTTGGCCTGGGTCCTGTAAAGGTACTGCCTGAAACCTGACCGCTTCCTGCACGAGGGGCTGAAAGCTCCTACGTGCTGTGTCAACACCGACACCTTTGAGCGGGTATTCTGTCTCCATCACTTGGAACTTGAGCACAAGAAACTTGTTTTTACTTGGGCTTTTGAGTCAACTAAAAATGAGACTTTTGACCAGACTGCCAATCAGAAAGTTTCCCATGCTATTTTATTTTCAAGTTATGATGAAGAACCAGTGTAAAATATGAAATCAATATGTATTTAAACACTAAAAGAGGAAATTAATTTTTAAAATGCTGAAACAAAAACATTCATAATTTTACCCTAGCGTGGTGCTTACTTTTGTGCCTAGTATTTCCCTATACACAAGCGGTTTATAGCTGTTTACCAGACTGAGTTTTAATTATCTTCATTTAAAGAACAAAACAAAACAAAACCAAAAGCTGCAAGGAGTCGTGGAGGTTGAAGACCCCCAGAGAGGAATGTAGTCGTCCCTGAGGTGCCATCCTTGGGATCCTTGTCCCCGTGGTCTGTCCAGGAGGCAGGGTTAGCCATTGCTTATGAATTTGGGTGTTGGATTTGAATTCTGGCTCTGCCGCTTACTGGTTGTGTGCTTGTCTAAGTTACCTAACCCCCCCAGCCTGTATTTGCACATCTGCAGAATGGGGATCATAATGGTACGTACTTCACAGGGTCGAGAGGGTTAAAAGGAAAATGATGCATGTGAGGCACTTAGTGACTGGAATGTTGAGAGGCTCGATGAATGCCAGCAGATGGTAATATAAAGTGTTTTTGATATTTTAGTAATACATCCTCCTGAGAGGGGCCACCTCATACCAAACTCAGTTTTTTAACCTGGTAGCAGTATTTCCCACAAATCTGTGGCACCTGCTTCCCAGCATTGTCCCTTGATCTCTTTCATTGGGACCATAGAAGCAATTGGAAACCAGCAGTATCATCCAGTGGAATATAGTTCAGTCATAACGAGGAATGAGGCACAGATCTGTGCTGTAACATAGATGAATCTTGAAAATAATGTAGGCAAAAGAAGCCAGACACAATGGATCACATATGGTATGAGTCTATTGATATGAATTGTCCAGAATAGGGAAATCTGTAAAGAAAAACAGTAGATTAGTGGTTGTTGTTGGATAACACGGGGTTAGGAAGAAATGCGTGTGACTGCAAATGGGTATGGAGTTTCTTTTTTGGGTTGATGGAAATTTTCTAAAATTAGTGGTCATAGTTGCATAACTCTGTAAATATATACTAAGACACTTCAAACTGTACACTTTAAAATGGATGAATTGTATGATATGTAAATTGTTTCTCAATAAAGTGCTTAGTAAAAAACCCAACCAATCTGGGGCATACCAGCTTCATGCTTAATGACCAACTGCAGGCACACCACAGCTGGGTGAGGGAATGAATGGAGGAACCCCAGCCCCTGTGATCTAGCAGCTACCAAGTGTTTATTGAGCTGTCCTGGGTGTCAGAGGCAGGTGTAAAGAATCCTAAGTTGTCTTTCCCTCCAGAAACTTGAGAGAGCGAGGATCAGAACAGTGATAATGAGTGTAAGAGCTCTTTGGTTTGTTTATTTATTCCTTTACACCCTTGTTAGTTCAAGTATTTGTTGAGCTCTTACTGTATGAAATGCCATTTTAAATTCCAGAAATAGAGTAGTTGTCAGAGCTTACAGCTTGGTGAAATCAAATACAAAGATGTGCTGGCTTTATAAAAGAGAATGCTTTTTTTTTTTTTTTAGCCAGTCCTTACTTAAAAATAAAATAAAAGAGCTTAAGTGATCTAGAGCAGCCAAAATAATCTTCAAAAAGAAGAAAAAAGTTGGAGGACATTTACCTCCCCGTTTCAGAATTTACTATAAAGCAACAATAGGCAGGACAGTGTGGTGCTGGCATAAGGAGAGGCATACAGATCAGTGAGTGGTCAGAACTGATAGTGCAGGATGTCAATTATATCTCAGTGAAACGGGGAGAAAAAAGAATTGAGAGTTCAGAAGTAAACCCACATATTTATGGTCACCTGATTTTTTAAAAAGGATTTTATTTATTTTTAGAGGGTAAGGGAGGGAGAAAGAAAGGGAGACAAACATCGATATGAGAAAGAAAAAAGGGATTGGTTTCCCCTTGCAAGTGCTCCAACTGGGGACTGAAATAGCAACCCATGCATGTGCCCTGACTGGGAATCGAACCGGTGACTTTTCAGTTTGTGGGATGGCACCTAACCAACTGAGTCACACTGATCAGGGCTATGGTCACTTGATTTTTGACAAGGGTGACAGGCTATTAAATAAGGGAAAGGATAGTCTTTTCATCAAATAATGCTGGGATAATTATCAACATGTAAAAGAATGAGGTTGGACCTCTACCTCATATCATATACAAAAATAACTTTAAATGAATCATATGCCTAAATGTAAGAGCTAAAGCTATAATAGAAGGAAGCATAGGTACGAATCTTTGTGACCTTGGATTGGCAATAGATTTTTAGAAAATGACACCAAAAACACAAACAGCAAAAGAAAAAATAAATTGTACTTCATCAAAATTAAAAACTTTTATGCTTTAAAAGTCTCTATCAAGAAAGTGAAAAGACAACTCATAGAATGAAAGAAAATATTTGGAAGTCATATGTCCGATAAGGAGTTGTAACTAGAACATAAAGAACTGATACAATTTAACACCGAAAAGACAATCCAATTTTTAAAATAAACCAGGGATCTGAATAGACATTTCTCTAAAGAACATATATGAATGGCCAATAAGACCATGAAAGAGTGCTCATTGTCACTAGTTGTCAGAGAAATAGGAATCAAAATAATATGGATAATATCAAGTGTTGAGGATGTGAAGAAAGTAGAATCTTCATGTATTACTGGTGGAATGTAAATGGTGCAACTGCTTTGGAAAACATTTAACACAGCAGTTCTACTTCTGGTTATATATCCAAGGGAAATAAAAATAAATGTCTGCACAAAAACTTTTGCACAAATTTTCATAGCAGCATTAATCATACTAGTCAAAAGGTGTAAACAATCTAAATGTCCATCAACAGATGGATGGGTAAATGAAATAAAGTATATTCATCCAACGGAATATTATTTGGCCATAAAGAAGAATGAAGTACTGATAACATGCTATGATATGATGAACTTTAAAAATATTTTCCTAAAAAAAGATATATTTTATATTTTGGTAAGTGTAAGAAGTTTGTCACAAAGGGCCACATATTATGTGAGTCCATTTATATGAAATGTCCAGAATAGGCACATCAGTGGAGACAGAATAGATAGATTAATGGTTACTTAGGGCTGTGGGAGAAAAGGGACTGGAGGTGATAGTTAAAGGGTAGTTAAGGGTACAGGATTTCTTTTGGAGGTGATGAAAATGTTCTAAAACTCGTTTGTAGTAATGGTTGCATACTAAACACCATTGAATTGTACACTTTAAATGGGTGAATTGTTGGTGTATGAATTATATCTCAATGATGCTGTTATGAAAAACGTAATAATAAAGATATTCCCTAGGAAAACAAGATGTCCGAGGCGGACCTGGCTTTGCTGTTCTGGGACTGAGGGCTTAGTGGACCACTGGGGCCCAGCATGGGCGGAATGGCTGTCCCCCCGGCATGACATGCATTGGAACAGTGGGAAGGTCACCTTAGCATCAGAAGTAAAATTAACAGATTTTAACTGATTTTTTGGGGGGGAGCACATGTTGGGGATAACTAATGAGAAATAGGGTAATGTTTGATGGCAGCTTAATGGTTTGGAAGCCTGCCTGTGGCACCGCCCTTGGTGCTATATGGTGGTCTTGGCATACAGTCCTATCACCCTTCTCCTGCGGAGGCTGCCCGCACATATTGGTCCTGAGGGATATAACAGTATCAGGCCAGTTTACTCTCATGTGGTTAAGAGGGACTCCTGTTTAAAACATCCTTTGGTGGAAACAACCCAAGTGTCCACCAACAGATGAATGAATAAATAAAATGTGGTATGTCCATACAATAAAGTATCATTCAGCATCGAAAAGGAATGAAATACTGATACACGCTACAACATGGGTGAAGCTTTGAGATTTTATTTTATTTTTATTTTTGCTTAATTCCTCCACCTTTTTTACCTGAACCTTTGAGATTTTATATGAAATGAAATAAGCTGGCTACCAAAGGACAAATATTGTATGATTTCACTTATATGAAATATTGAGAATAGGCAAATTCATAGAGACAGAAAGTAGAATAGAGACTACCAGGCAGGGCCTAGTGGAAGGGGAAATGGGAAGTTATCGTTTAATGGTTATAGAGTTTAAAAGGTTGGAAATAGATAGTGGTGATGATCGCAGAACATTGGGAGTGTACTTAGTGCCACTGAATTGGACACTTAAAAATGGTGACAATGGTAAATTTTATGTATATTTTACCACAACTTAAAAAAATCCCCTGGGGAATAAATGGAGTTCTGGCCTCGCCGTAATCAGTGTCTGAGCAGACATGGAGGGGACCCAAGTTAGGAGATGGCCTCAGAGGCAGGGTTTCTCTGGGTTGAAATGCTATTTTTATTTTTAATGTATGGATAGCAGTGCTGTTTTTGACAAAGGGTAAGGAATTAGAAAGATGGGGTAGGACCTGGTACTTAGGTCTGTACTTACAGTCCTTGTTGTGAGGAGCGAGAGCGGACCGCTTGGAGGCGTCTGCCTAGGGACGCCGGTGTGGGCTGGGAGCACCACTGAGGTTCACATGACTCCTGCTTCCTGGCTGGAAGTGCTGTCTGCAGGGGGAGGCGGATGGCCAGATGCTGGGAGAAGCTACAGTGTGAGGCCTTCTCATAAAACTTGAATCTGATGCAATACCTGTTGTCTCCCTCAACAGAAAAGGGAGATTTCATTGCCCTGGATCTTGGTGGGTCTTCCTTTCGAATTCTGCGGGTGCAAGTGAATCATGAGAAAAACCAGAATGTTCACATGGAGTCCGAGGTATATGACACGCCGGAGAACATCATGCACGGCAGTGGAAGCCAGGTGGGTCCTGCTCCCTCCAGGAACAGATCCCAAAGCACTGGTATCCTGAGGTCTGGAAGGAGTCATCAGAGATGCAGTGGGGACGACTCCTGGGTGGAAGAGTGTGACTTCCTGAAGAGATGGTTCCCCTTGGTAAACTGGTGGGTGGGAGGGGCTGCAGGATTTTCACAGGGGAAAGGGGGTGGAGAGGGAGCAGCTCTGCTGGATAAAGGCATTCATTCCTTAAGGACCATGGGGTTCCTTCCTATGCACAGGTTTAGCCATAGCACTTGGGTCAAAACTCCTCTTCTAAGTCATTGGCCTTCTCACTCACCTCATCCCAAGGCCCAGGCCTTGTAGGGCATGGCTGTCACCTGTGGGGAAGCAGGATTTTCATTTGGAACCCCAGGGCTAATCAAGGGATCCTGGCCTTCTGATTTAATAGCCTCCTGTGATTCGTTGGTTGTCAGCAATGATAGCAAATAGGGTGGGGCTTTGATTGAAAAATTACCGGCCCCTCCTCTCTCTCTTGGTATCTGAGCCCCACCCGCTGCCTTTGCTGGCCAAGGGGGAGGGCCCTTCCACCCCTCTCCCGCCTGTCTGGCTGCGGTGAGTGGTGTGTTCCTAGCTCCCTGAGGGCCCTGTGAACAGGGTTCAGATGGCCCCTGCTCAGGTTTTCGGCCATATCTGTGTCTTGTAAGCCTGTACTCCTGTAGAGGTCCTAGCTCCTCCAGTTCATAGTTCCCCTCCTGGGTTGTGGCAGGTGTCCAGGATGAGTATTCAGAGACTGTCAAATATTTGCTTTAGGAAGGGTGTGTTCACAGCCAGGTTCGTGACTAAGTTCTCCAGAAAACCCATTTGCCCTGGGCTAACCTTTGAGATGATGCCCGGCAGTTAGTTACCCCTTCTTGACTCTACTTTGTTGAGTGGGACCTGGAGCAAATGCTCTGCCTTTCCAAGAAAAGAGCTAATCCCAGCCTTTAACCTACTTCTGGGGGGTTGGTTAAGAGCTTTTCAAACTGACGCTGTCATTAGAACAGATGAATCACTTCAGTCAGCCATTTAAGTGGGTGTGTCACTCATCAGTGGCCCAGTGTTTCCCTGCCTACACCTCCATTCCTGGCCATGGAAACCAGCGCATTCAGAGAGAGAGAGAGAGAGAGAGAGAGCGCGCGCACGCGAGCGAGAGCGTGAGCACGCGCACTGCCAGCTGGTAGGGCTCCTTATCCTGCCCAGCAGTCTCTGCATTGCTCTTCCTTGCGGGTGGCCAGCAGCCTTGGGGTGGCATCCTGCCTTCTCCGTGTGGCAACAAGCACTGACCTGTCACACTCTATTCCCATGGTCCTTGGGCTGAGCCACCTCTGCCTGCTGCCTTCACCTCTGTGCTGCAGACATTCCTGTGTGCGTTGGCAGGGTTTGTAAATTAAGGGAATATCTCCCCTGCAGGCACATCCTTACTACGTTCACTCTCACAGTGACTTTCTTCTTACGGCTGCCTCTGGGACCTCGTCTCTCCCAGCCTCTGTCCTCATCTTCTCAGCCCCAGGAGCACTTTATTTCCTGCTCTATTTTTTTCTCTGTTCCTTTGCAAAGAAAAAAAGATGATGATAATAATTATAATGATGTATTATTATAGTAAATACCACAGCGTTTGTTATATGTAAAGCACTGATGTAAACACTTTATATGGATTAACTCATTTAATGATCACAACAACTCTCTTGGGTGGGTTTATTATTATTCCTATTTCACAGATGAGAAAATTTAGGCTCAGATGTTAAGTAACCAGCCCTTTGGGTCTCATAGCTCATAAGTCATGGAGCTGGGATCTGAACCCAGGCCGCCTGGGTCCGGATGTTATAGTTTTACTGACATAGAACTTGATTGTTTTTATTAAAAAAATTTTTTTTTTGGTGGTGAGGACATGTGAGGGCTGTGGGCAAGGAAGAAGGTCCAGGGGCTGAGGGAGGGTTCGCAATTGGAAACTAGGGATGAAACAGAAACTTCTCTTCCAGAAGTCTGATGTGAAATTAGAAATAAGTACTGGGTGGTCCGTTTTTGTGAGATCTCTCATGGATGTATACAGTATTCTGGAAAACCAAGAGCCCCATTTTGCCCATGAAGTAGCATAGACTATGAACAGTGCTCTATCCTTGGGGTCGTGCTCTCATCTTCTGAAATGTGTGGGAATTCTTAATTGATTTTTAAACACTGTATTTGAAATAATATTGAACTTACAGAAAAGTTTTAAGATAAGCACAAAGACTTCCCATGTCACCCTTGACCCAGACGCCCAACTGTTAACCATTGGCTTCATCCTCCCCTTTCTTACACACCACACACCACACACACCACACACACAGTGTCTCACGTTTCAGTGCAATTTTAAGCTTTAATAATCTTGGAAACATAAATGTAATCTTAAAACATCACTCCTTTAATTTGGGGATGTTGAATAAGACATAGTTAGGTTTTTATTTTAGTCATTGTTTGCCATCATCAGAGGAACCGAGTCTGTGTGTGGGAACTTTTAAAATAACTAGTGTGTTGTTAGAAAAGAAAAATTAATGTTTTTTGGACTATAACATTTTGAATCCAGAGAGCCTGGGTCACTTCCTTCCCTAGCTGGTCACAGACAGAGTTTGCCTGAGGGTAGCTTCCGGTGACCTGGAGCCCCTGGGTTGTGGACATTCCACAATACTGCGTTTCCTTCTTAACAGAGCACTTCAGGATGGTTGTGTTTAGCTGGGCTCAGGGCTGGTTAGTGCACCCCGTTCATGTAAATCCACTTCTGTAGCCTGTGTTCTCCCTGTCACTTCCTGCCAGCGACCTTCCTTCCTTCCTCCTGGCTGTCTCTCCTGAGTGCCAAGGGGGAGCCTGGAGCTTCTGAGTGTGTATGATGTGGGGCGTGCTCATTGACTTAGTAGTGGGTTTATGTCCCTCAGAAACATAGGTCGCAGGGAGCTTAGCAGGACCCCTCCAGGGCAGGTGGTCATGTGTCTTTCCTCGATCAGTATTGCCCACTGCAGGCTTAGCCTGACTAATAGTGACTCAGCAGCAGAGGCTCCTACATTGACAGGTTCTTCTTCACCCTGGCAGAAAAGTCAGACTGCAGAGCTGGGTCAGGGACGAAGATGGGAATACTGACATCTGGCGTCCAGTCAAGGATACCCCTGCAAGGATAGACTTCAGGCAGATGGCCTTGTCTGGGAGCAGGACTGGGTCTGCTTCCTGTGACTTGTGTGGCTTGACCTTGCTTGCCAATACTGCCTTCTTCTGGGCTTGAAGATGCTCCACAGTCGTGGTAATTCCATACGTAAGGGAGGGCCAGTGCTGTGACAGCCATGTGAAAACGGTGGGGGTCGGGGGTGGTAACTAGACTGTGGAGGCATAGGGCTAAGGAAGAGGAAGTTCTTAGTCCAACTTAGCTCTCCTCTGGTCAGAACACATACGAAATAGTATAGTCGGTTCTGGGGACATTTTAGAGATGAGGAGAGGTAGTAGATCCAAAAAGATTGCCTCAAACGAGGTGAGCCTCCCATCTCTGAGAGTGTGCATTCGAAGGCTAGGGAAACAGTGTTCGGGGCTCCTTGAAGGACCTAATAGGTGCATGCCTATCCCAGGCAATGAGTTGTGGGGCAGGCAAGCTTAAATTGCAGTCCACGAGATAAATTATGGTATATCTACCCCATGGAATACTGTGCAGCAGTGAGAATGAACAGTCTGCAAAGACACAAAACAAGGTGGGTGTCTCCCATGCATATGGTGTAGAGTGAAAGAAGACATTCATCAAAGAGTGCACAAGGATATTCCATTTATGTGTAGTAGACAGGAAAAACCAGTTGAATGTGTTGGAAGTCAGGGTGGCTGGCGTTTGCCCTTGCCGGGTTGGCTGCAGTGGTTGTGGCTGCGGGGACTTGAGCGGGGTGTCTGTGCTGATAGCACTGTGTTTCTTGATCTGAGTGCTGATGACACGGGTGGGTACAGCCTGTGAGAATCCAGTCAACTCTGCACTTAGGATGTGTGCACTTCTTTTTGGGGGGGGAGGGTATGCCTATTATACTTCAGGGAAAAGTAAAAATACAAGTAGCCTGAAGATTGCTAACTCATTCAGGAGGGCTAGCCACCTGTGGAACTGCTTGTGGGGCCTCTGGAATGTGCAGATAGAGGTAGAGACAGATCTGGGAAAGCTGGAGATGGAATAATGACTTCTGAGCAGGGGCCAGGCGGCCACCTCACCTGGGTGGCTGATGGAGACTGTGTGATGTGGAGCAAGAGGTTGATTTCTGTTATTTTAAAATTTTTAAATATTTTAAATTATTAACTACATTTAATATTTAATATTTTAAAATACCCCCAATCCCCTGATAATACATATTAGTGACTGCTGAGTGGCCAGTTCTGTTTGAAGGATGGGAAATGCTTCCTGAGCTGCGGCCGCCCACAGGGAGTGATCAGGGATATTCCCTCCCATTCACACTCAGTGTGGCTTTTCTAGCAGGGCCACCGGGTGCTGTGTCGTTTACGTTTTTCCTGAAATGCTTTTTCCCCTCCTGACTGTTCCGTCATGCTTCCTCCAGCTTTTTGATCATGTCGCTGAGTGCCTGGGAGACTTCATGGAGAAAAGAAAAATCAAGGACAAGAAATTACCTGTGGGACTCACATTTTCTTTCCCTTGTCGACAATCCAAAATAGATGAGGTAAGGGCATTCTGGGATTACCGGGCTCCACAGAAGACCCAGAGTGGAAAAGCTAATGAACCCCTTTTCTTGACTGCTATTCCCTTTTGTTTATGGGATGGCCAGTGTGTCTTATATTTTTTTTAAGAAACTTTGTAGAAATTAATGTAAGGTGACGATATTATATTTATTTTTTCAATTACTTTAGTTATTTACGTATCTTTGGAAGTGAGTTGTGTTATTTGTGGCTACCAGGTAGAGAGAACCATGTATTAAATGCAAGCAAGTGAAGGAAAAAAAAAAGCAGGTTTAGTGGTGGAGTGAGGTTGGAAAGCCCTTGGTCAGAGCTGTAAGACCGTGGTGTTTGCGAACCGGGAAGCCGTCCCTGTTGGAGCGCACCTGGTGAGGGCGCCGCCTCCCGGGTGAGGGCCGCCTCTCTGTAACATCTGCTGGTCTGAGGCTCCCTCCCCGCAAAGGGCCTCGATTCTCTCTCGGACCTCTGGGGACTTGTTGCGCCTGCCCACCTTGTTTGTCATTTGTTCATCCACCGGCTCAGCCCAGATGGACTCCGACATACCATGTGCCAGTGTCATAGAGCACTGTGGGGATACAAGACGAGGGGTTGCCACCTTGTTCCTTTTCTACGTAGAGAGACAGAAAAACCACACACACACAGACACACACACACACAGAGCAGCCTGTGAACAAACGCTCCATGATAGGAACTCTGATAGTTAGCATTATTGAGGGTCCATCAGGTGTTCTATTGTGTCTTTCCCAGTTAACACACATAACCTGCAAACAACCCCCGTGAGCAAAGTGCTTATGGTCCCCACTTCACAGATGAGGAAATTGAGGCTCAGAGGAGTTGGGAACCTGCGCAAGGCCATCCGAGCAGGAAGCAGCAGAGCCTGTGCGGGTAACCAGTTCCCATTCTGTAGAAGAGTCACATTTGGGTACAGGCGCCCCCCATACTTCTGGGCAGTAGCCCCGTACCTCCTTTTCAGTGGGGCGAACACCCTCTCCTGGGCTCTGCCTCATGCCGCTGGGGCCCTTACATTTGCATCATTTGTGCAGTAACAATGTCAGAGCAAGAAAGGGCCGGAGAGTTCAGTAGGCCAAGTGCCTCAGCAAGGTCACAGGGTTTATTAAAGGCAGATCTAGGACCAGAACTCCAGGCCGCACCTCCCACCCAGGGGAACCCCATCCCCCACACATCTAAAGGCCTCTGAGATTTTCCATTTCCTCTTTTCTCTCTTTTTCTATCTGATATTGCTATACCTCCAAGGTATTCAGATCACTTTGGCCTTCAAGGTGTCTTCCCAAACCTTTCACAAAGCCTGTTGTTGGCACTACGTGTCATTTGGCTTTTGAGAACTGAGACATGACAGTCACACTCCCTGGGCAGAGACAGCCCCCTTCCCACCGGGAGAGGTGCGGATGAAGCCATTGTACTCCGTGTTGCTCATTCTTTGGCAGCTATTGCCCAGTGTGAGCTGAGCTAGGTCCTAGGAGAGACCCCGAGCAGATGGTCTGGCCTGCCCCCCAGGAGGCACAGTCTTCCAGGGACCAAGGCATTGCGGGAGTGGGAGGGAATGTCTCTGGGGCCACAGGATCCTCACAGGCTGCTGCAGATGTGCCCGGCAGAGGGGCACTGCGGGCAGAGAAGGAGCTAGAGGTGGGGGCCCCGCCGGCAGGCCTTGACCCTCAGCTGGGGGGGCCTTCCTAGACTGGGCTGCACCACCTACCAGGAAGCCGGAGGGTCTCAGGTTCTACTTACCCACCCAGGGGGCTTGTTCCCCCTCCTCCAGGCTGCCTGGGACCTTCAGGATTGTCTAAATCTCGACTGGCTGCCTTATTCCACCGATTTGCAAAGTGACCCCAGGGGAGTTAGGGAAACATCCCTCAAAACAGTGAGCGAAATTGTGGGAATAGGACCTGGTCTCCCGATTTCCAGCCCCATGTTCTTTCTACAATACCATGTTCTCAGAATCTGCTGTATTCGGTGGGGGTTGAGCGGAAGAAGACAGTGCCCAGGGGCTTGTAGAATGCCGGGTTTAGCTGCAGGCTGTTGCTGAGCGAAGAACCACAAACTTGCCATTCCCGTGCACCCTGCAGGCTGTGTAGCTCCCGCAGTGAGCATGGCAGCTGTCTGGGTGAGCTCCCCATGCCCGGGTCTCACACAACCCCCCAGCCGACGGGCGAGCCAGCAGCTCTTCCTAACCTGCCACATTACTTACAGCGACTTTCTGCAGTCAGAGAAAAACAGTCAAGTATAGCAATTACTTTTCTTCTCTAGTATCTTTGATTGTTTTAAACATACAAAAGCAATATATAAAACTACTGAAATAATATAAAGAGATAAAGCAAAAAAGAAAACTTCTATCCTTTTACATTCCCAAGTGAATAGCCAATGGATGTCAATCCTCCTTGAAGTTTCTCCATTGATATACAAACAGAAATGGGTCACATTGTAGAAATGTTGGAGTTGCTGTTTTCAAGTGGGGGTTCAGTTCCCAAGTTGGGAAAGAGACATAAATCATATACATATAGGCCATATTTTCCTTAAATCTCCAGGACCTGCTTCTTTGAAGCTTATTAGGCAAGAATTGTCATAGCATTTTCTCATTTCATTTAGCTATGACTTTCTTTCCTGGGGGCTGTGGAGGTGAGAGGTTTGTTTTCAAAGTGGGAAAGGCTGATCAGGCAATTACTGGGTCTCCCCTGTTCACTTTTTACATGAAGTCTGGCTGAGCAGCTGGCATCCAGTTGGATCCGCATGCCGCATGACACTCCTGTAGTGTCCAGCTGCTTGCTGTGTTCTGGCGTGAGCTGCGAGACTTTTCCCAGGGCAGCCACCAGAGAAATCCATCGTGTAGGTGGATGAACAGGAAATGGGACAGTCTGGTCCTGTTACCCAGTGTGATCTAGATCCAGCGACTTGGTCCCTCTGGGCGTCTGCTTTGTCCTGGTCCTCCCCAAGGGCCTGGGACTTCTGAAGGCCTCCCATCCTTCTTTGTCTAACCCCGCCCCTCTGCTCTCCTTTGCAGGGCATTCTGATCACCTGGACAAAGCGATTTAAAGCCAGCGGAGTGGAGGGAGCGGATGTGGTGAAGCTGCTTAACAAAGCCATCAAAAAGCGTGGGGTAACTTCTGTCTAGGCCTTGGCCACATGGAGGTGGGGGGGTGTGTGGGGAGAGAGGTGTGTTCCAAAACACACGGAGGCCCTTTTGGAGGTAGGAATGGGGCACTAGCATGGCCTGAGACACCACATGAGAGGTCTTGGAGGACCAGGCAGTTGAGTGAGCAGTAAGAGTAAGTCAGTCCGGAAGGTTGGGAGTGGTTGAAACAGAGCTCTTGGAGGTGCTGCCCAAAGGAGCCACGTCCTTGGGAGGGGATGGCCCCCTTCTGACAGAGGAAGGCTGGACGTAGGTGCAGGGAGCCAGGGGGTCAGGTGCAGCCTGCTGCGGCTGGAACCGGGGCAGTCAGCACATGGACGTGGTGGGGTGATTTGCAGAGGGCTGTGGCTCTCTGTATAAAATCCACTCTGAAAACAATCTTTTAATTTTTTTTTTTAAATCCTCACCCGAGGACATTTTTTCATTGCTTTTTTAGAGAGAGAGGGAGAGTGAGAAACATCGATTAATTGCCTTCTTGTATGTGCCCTGACCAGGGATCAGACCTGCAACTGGGGTATGTGCCCTGATCAGAAATCGAACCTGCGACCTTTTGGTCTAAGGGACAGTGCTCCAACCAACGGAGCCGCACTGGCCAGGGCCACTCTGAAAAGAGTTTTATGCCAGACAATGAAGGGGACTGTGCAGTTTCCATAATTCAATCCACTTGATCCAGTTAATTTGCGTGCCAGCCGTGATGGAAGCAGCACCACCTGCAGGAGCAACGGTGGCCACGAAAACCACTCTCTCTTTGAGGCTGTGATTTCTGCTCCCATGTTTGAGTGGATGGTGATGCCCTGTTATTTGTCCTCAGGATTATGATGCCAACATTGTGGCTGTGGTGAATGATACTGTGGGGACCATGATGACCTGTGGCTATGATGATCAGCAGTGTGAAGTTGGCATCATCATTGGTAATTTTCACCCCTGTCCTCATCCCTTCCTGCAGGCGGTGTTTCCAGAAGGCACCGCCTCCTCTCTGTGACTTTGTGTGGTCACGGCTTCTGATCTCGTCTCTCTCTCTCCGAGGCACTGGCACCAACGCGTGCTACATGGAGGAGCTGAGGCACATCGACCTGGTGGAAGGCGACGAGGGGAGGATGTGCATCAACACCGAGTGGGGGGCCTTTGGGGACGATGGATCCCTGGAAGACATCCGCACCGAGTTTGACCGCGAGATTGACCGGGGGTCTCTGAACCCTGGAAAGCAGCTGTGAGTCCCACCCACCTTTCCTTACTAGGCATCTGCATGGCTTAGGGGACACTTAACATAAAATCTGGGGTGGGCGATGAAAGGGGCAGAAAGCTGGGTGATCACAAAGGGAAAAGCCTGTCAGCTTTGCATTACCTGTCACTCCTTTGTAGAGAGACACAGTTGTGGAGTCTGCAGTCTGGCTCCTGCAGGCTCTGAGATTCCGCCTCAGGGTTGCTGAGAGGCTGTTCCAGTAGGTACTTGGGGGAATGTCTGGGCAGGCCGGTCTCAGAAAGGCTCTCTCCTGCCAGGGATCCTCAACACAGCCGTGGTGGGACGTTCCTGTCTGGTCCTGTCAGGAGCAGGAACAAGGAGAGCTGTGTTTCTCTGTGCTTGTGTTGACGTATGAGGGAGGGCCCGGTGCTCAGGTCCCAGTAGCATCCCTGGCTTCCGGGTCTGCCTCTGAATGGAACAGATTGTTTTGCTGTGCTACAGCCAGCTGTGGGCGTGCCAGCTGGGTGCCCTCGGAGGACAGGCCGGCCGCCCGGATGTGGACCTGCCTCTTTGATCTGTGCTACTTGGGGCTTTCTCTTGGCCCCTGGCCAGCCAGGACTCAGGCGTGGGTCTGTCTCAGGTGTGGCATTGAGCCCCTGTTTATGGCAGCCTCTCCCCTGCAGCACTGGGCTCACGATGACTGCTGCTCTTAGAGTCCACGGCCCGCACCACACCTCCCAGGGAGGCGAGAGGGCGGGTTCGCCCTGTGATTGGCCTGTGGCTGAATGTGACCGGGGCAGTGAGATGTGCTGATCGGCTTTAAGCTACTCAGAAGCCTCCCCTAGAGTTGAGGGTGAGGTCAGTGGGGAACATATGGGTTCCTCAAAGCAAATCTTGGTCCTTTCGGCTGGAGAGGGAGAATGTGAATGCCAGTGAGGTGATCTGTGACAGGGGTCCCGTGGGAATGGCTGCATTGCAGCCCCGTCTTCTACTCAGCATTCCCTCTGAGAAGACATTACCTTTCTGCCCTGGGAAATGGCAAGAATGCCCCCTGGCCACCCCCTTCCCACAGCACTTGGTGACCTCCCTGAGGGAGTGATGGCACGAAAGCCCTTTAAAAAGTGCAGACAGAGTTTTGTATTCCGCTCATTTCTAGATCCTATTGTTTTCCCCGACTGCAGGCAGCCTTCCCTGCCTGCCCCTGGGGTGCTGTCCTGTTGCCCACCCTGGGGAGAGGTGTGGGCTCTGGATGACCCCCTGCCGTCCCCTTGTTGTTTCATCACACAAGCGCTTGGCCTTGCCTGCTCGCGAGGCTGGGAGCTTGCGAGGGGTGAGGCCTCATCTCCTTCTGTGTGTCCCATGCCCCGTGAGTTGCCCCACTGGTGGGTACGTAGGAAGGATCTGACAAATGCCCGGGTGCTTTTCTCCTGCAGGTTTGAGAAGATGGTCAGTGGCATGTACCTGGGGGAGCTGGTTCGACTGATCCTGGTCAAGATGGCCAAGGAGGGCCTTTTATTTGAAGGGCGGATCACCCCAGAGCTCCTCACCAGAGGGAAGTTCAACACCAGTGATGTGTCAGCCATTGAAAAGTAGGTGCCACCTCTTGAGGCTTTCTGGGAGGGTCCTGGGGGCAGAAGAGCGACAGGTCCCTTGTTACTGCTTGAGTCCTGGTGTGGTGGGCTTCTCCCTCAAGAGCTCCAGGGCTTTCTGGGTCCATCTTCCCTCTCTTTGCTGTCCCATCCTGGGCCGGGCTCCCTGCAGGTGCCTGGTGTCAGCTCATTAGAGAATGTTCTGGTTAGCAACGTATCCTTCCTGGATGACTTAGTTACTGAAGCAGTCTCTTGTCCTTCACTTTGCCCCCACTTTTTCTCTCCTTTCCCCCACCACAGGGTGAGATTAAAGAGCATTCTGCTAGTGGACAAGGAGCTGACTGAGCCTAGGGGCTGGATTTGGAATTCCTCCCTGGGGTATCAGGACCTTCACCAGACTAGGCTCCAGGGAACCCTAGTGACTCAAGATAATTAGGTGTTGTCTGAAGAAAGGGCTCTGTGGCCAATAGGATTGGGAAGTACTACATATTTACCCTCCCTTAGAGTTTTACAGTATCATTAGCATATTAAAGAAAACCCAGTTTACCTTGGTTAACAGGCAGAAGAAGTGTTCCTTGGCACAAGCTAAGAAACACTGGTTAGCAGATGAGACAGGACAGATAGACACAAAAGGACAGAGTCCAGCCAGCAACCTGACTGCTACCTTTTGACCTCAACATAAGATGCTCAGACTTCTCTGTTGAGACTTATTTTCAGGCCTTCACCCTGAAAGGGAAGAAGGTAAACTTGATCCTGTGGCAGTTTGACATAGTTAGGTATCTCCGAGTCTGAAGGACTCCTGCCTTGTGTTGGCTTGTGATTCCTGATTCGGGAGACTCCATGTACCCATGGGGGGGCCACCTGCTGAAAAATAAGGGCCAGGTTCATGCTAGAAGTGCTCTTTCATCTCCATACAAAGCGGTCATTTCCCATGGCCCCTGCTGTGGTCCTTGAAATTCAGAGAGAGCCAGTGGCTTCAGAGCTCTGGTCCTGGGAGAAGATGAGCATCAGCAACCTTTGTGGTTAGGGGGCAGATGGAAGTGGAAGGGAGTTTATCAGGACCTGCTCTTCTGTCACATGATGTACTAGTGTGTGTCCTAGGATCACGCACCTTTGGGAGTGATTGGTGCAGAGACAGTGTAAGCACAGAGCATGCAAACGAGTTTCCAACTGTCTTCTCAAAGCGTCCCCGCTTCCCCCGCCCCCATCAGCCCCTGGGAGGGGAGGGGAGCAGGAGGCTCATGGCTTGTCTTCAGACTTGTTGACAAAGCCAGGAAATGCCTGCCTTCCTCTTGGCCTGTGTCAGGGGTTGGCTCTTTCATGACCAAGAAACAAAAACCCACTTGAATTCTAGCTCAAGAAAGCTTGTGTATTGCAATACAGACTATCTCCAAAATGCCTACCAAAAACATCCTCCCAGGACATTCTCTTAAAATCATGAGCAAGACAGTATCACCATTTTTTTTGGCATTGCCCTGAAGTCTTAGCTAGTGTTTAAAAAAATAATAAAGAAAGAAAGGAAAAGATATTACAGGCATAAGAATAAAAAAAGAGTAGGTAAAACTGTCATTATTTGCAAATGGTAATTGTCTGTATGAAACACCAAAACATATCCAGGCAAGTGAATAGGATCACAGGAGAGGTTAGGAAGATGTCTGGAGAGAAGATCCAAGAGTCAATTAAATTTCTAAATATATTGGCAATAATGAAAATACGTACATATGTTTAAAATAAACTTTTTATTTTAAAATATTTTTAGGTTTACAGAAAAGTTGCAAGGATAGTACAGAGTGGTCCCACAATCCCTCATGCAGTTTTCCCATTGTTAACATCTTATATCACTATGTTACATTAAAGAAAAAAAAGACTACATATATTTTTAAAAGAGAGCACCTGTAATAGTAACAAAACTATAAAGTATCTTGGAATGAATTCAACAATGGATATAAAAAGCACGTATCCAGAAAATTAAAATCTGACGGGAAAACACCAAGGAAGAATGTGTAAGCATCCAGGGGAACTCAGACTCGAAGAGTAGGCGATGCCCCCTTGGCTGCATGAGCACCGAGCGCTGGGGTGCAAGCAACTGTTCCTCCACCTGTTCAGAGGCCATGTGGTCTCATGTCGCTACTTCTTTCCATGTGCTCGTCATAACTCAGCATAGGACTCAGTTTTTCTTTCTCCTACTGGTTATTTCTTTATGGAGGAAACCCTTTCTCAGGCTCTTTTCAGGTGTTTGACTGTGTCTTCGTACCGTGTCATACACATATGGTGAACGGGGTTCACCCTTTTAGGACCTTCGAACCTCAGTGCTTTACACTGCCTGACGAGGTCCTTAACTCACAAGTATTGGCCTCTAACTTCACAGGAATAAGGAAGGCCTCCACAATGCCAAAGAGATTCTGACCCGCCTGGGAGTGGAACCGTCTCACGATGACTGTGTTTCGGTCCAGCACGTGTGCACCATCGTCTCATTCCGCTCTGCCAACCTGGTGGCTGCAACGCTGGGCGCCATCTTGAATCGCCTTCGAGATAACAAGGGCGTCCCCAGGCTGCGGACCACGGTTGGTGTCGACGGGTCTCTTTACAAGACGCACCCACAGTGAGTCTGCCCTTTGCTATAATTGGTACTCAGTACCCATCTGGGCTAAGGACCTTCTCCCGCGGTCAGGCTTTTGCATCTAGTGAAGCAGTGTTGGCAGACAAGACAATACTAGTTCTGGCCAGAAAGGTCAGAGTTGCCCACATGAGAAGGATCCCGCCCTCAGCCGCATCTCACTGGTGTTCCTGCACAGCACTGTCCTCTCTCCTCTTTAGAGATTTCTGTAGCTGCCAGGAATGCTGGGTAGAATGTGTCTGTATCTCCAGTTCTCTTGCATGTCCTTATCTCATCAGGGACCTTTATCCTTATTGTAGCTTGGGAGCTTGGGTCATGGATGAGTGCTCACATTTAGAAGCTCTTGCGAAAGTCCCCTCAGGCATTAACCTTTTTACTTGGGCAACTTGGTGATACTTTGCATTTGAGAGCCAGAAAGTGTGTAAGTTGTAAGCAGTTCACATTGATGATAAGGGCCCCATCGCCTTAGCCTTAGCTTCAAAAGCCTATTTTAGCCACTTAAGAACATGGCTTTACCCTTTTAGAAGGCCAAAGGTGAATTCTAAGTCTTTGTATACTAAGCTTTAACACTAACTGCCTATGACATGATTTTGTACAGGATCTCAGATATATTTCCCACTAGATATATAATATGTGAGCAGAGTGGCCTTGCAAGTAGATACTGTACCTTCGCACCCAGTTCTAGTGACAGTTAATGAACACTGACTTACACTGAAGTAGTTCTGTGTTGCTGAGGGGATAGGCTTTGAGCAAGTTAGATATTATTATCTGTCAGGGTAATAATTTTATTTCTTTTCATTTTTTAAGTAGTTGTAAATTCTTGACAACGAAAGGAGCCATTTTGGGGGGGATTTCTTGGCAAAGTTTTAGAAAGAAAGCTTAGAGATATGCAACTTTGCATTTAAGTTTTTTTTTAAATTGTGGTCAAAACACATAATATAAAATTTACTATCCTAACCATTTTTGAGGGTCCAGTTCAGTAGTAGTAAGTACATTCATGCTTTTGTGCAACTGTTAACACCAGCCATCTCCAGAACTTTATCTGCAACATCACATTTTAAAAAAAAAGAAACTTCAGTTAAGTGTTTCCTATTTCAGAAGTGGCATATATTCAGTATAGAAACTTGAGATCATTCAAATAATTACATGGAGAATAGAAGTCATTTTTAATCCCACCCCCTGGAGTGCTAGTGTTTTTGGGGTTCTGGTTCCCCTGCTTCCTTTGGCAGGCGGCCTTCCATACTCACAACAGACCACAGACTCTAGGACAGTCTGTGTCTTGGTGAGTCCCATCCTAAAGTCCTCTCCTGGCCACTAAAAAGTGTCCGGACTCTTGGGGGCAGGAGGAAAGGGCCTAGGAAAAATAAAAAGCAAGAGTGATTCCTTGTGAAGCCCTTTCGCTTCCGTGTCAGTTACTAATCAAAGCATCTAATGACCTGGTTTAGTTCCGCCACCCAACGGTCAGCCAGGCACTATCATCCTCATTGACTCCAAGGCTCAGTAATGGGCGCAGGCTCGTCTGGTGTGGAAGCGGTGGAGCTCACCCACCATGTCTCCTGATCTGACTTTTGGTCACTGGGCTCTTGAGCACTATGCTGGATTGTTATCTCCTTGTCACGGTGGAGGACGAAATCCTTTCTGAACCCTGATTTCTGTATTCAATACCCATGTAATAATGAGAATCCTCTCTTTTTATGTGTGACTGTGGACGATTTTGTTTTTCTTTTTTACTTGTCTGCATTTGTTAACTTTTCTAGAGTGGATGTATGTGACTTATATAATGAGAAAGGCAAGTTTAGAAAATGGAATTAAGGTGAAAAAAAGAAAGAAAGGGGTACCGGAGGATCCCGACAGGTGGCTCAGTCCAGCTGCGGTGGCTTCTCCCCCCAGGTATTCCCGGCGTTTCCACAAGATTCTGAGGCGCTTGGTGCCTGACTGCGACGTGCGTTTCCTGCTGTCAGAGAGCGGCAGTGGCAAGGGGGCAGCCATGGTGACGGCGGTGGCCTACCGCCTGGCTGAGCAGCACCGGCAGATAGAGGAGACCCTGGCCCACTTCCACCTCACCAGGGACATGCTCCTGGAGGTGAAGAAGAGGATGCGGACTGAGATGGACATGGGGCTGAGGAAGCAGACAAACGACAAGGCTGTCGTCAAGATGCTGCCCTCCTTCGTCCGGAGCACTCCGGACGGGACTGGTGAGGGCCCCTGCTGGGGGCCGACATGCCCTCCTCTTCTCGTACCGATGACCAAGTCACAGCAGGGCAACAGGGAGGCTGGCTTCTCCAGTGGATATATTTACACTGGGATTGCATGGTTTTGGAAAGAGCTAGGCACTCACTCAGACTCTCTTTTTCCATTTTTGCCACTGACTTGCCCACGTGTGCCTCAGGGCAGTTAACTTACCCTGGTTGCACCTCCTGGGCAAGTGCCATCTCTCAAACCACAGCCCTGCTAGTGTTCTTAAAGGAGCGAAAGCTGCCAACCCCAGAACACTGAGATGTTCACTTACAAACATGGTAAACTGGCGGAAGGATAAACACCCATGCACCCCTCCTAAGTCCTGACAGTGTGTGCTTGAGGCAGATGGGCATAGGGGTTTTTATATCCAGGCAGAATGGAGAACAGAGTTCAGCCCTTAATGCTGACCTTACTGGGCGTCATGGGAGCTGATCACCGTGGGGATCTAAAGGACTTTTCTGGTGGGTCTTTGGAGTAATGGATGTTTGTGATAGGAATATTTCCCTTGGATAAGTTACTTTGTATTATTGCATTATAAACCACCCTTGAGCTTAGTGCCTTAAAACAACCACCATTTATTATTGCTCATAAGTGTGTGTAGGTTTAGAGCAATTTATTATTGCTCACCTGGGCAGGCTTGGCTGAACTTTACTGGACTCATTCATGTGTCTGTAGTCACTGGTGGGTCAGTCGAGGGGCCTCCCTCACGTGTTCAGCAGTGGGTGAGCATCCGCTGGGGTGCAGGAGAACCCGGCCATGCGTCTCATCCTCCAGCGGGTCGCTGGGCTTGTTTACATGGTCAGCAGCAGGGTCCACAGGGAGAGGGAAGAGTTTATAAAGTCTCTGGGAGGCCTAGGCTGGGATTGGCTCAGTTTTGCTTCTGCCACACTGTCGGCCAAAGCAAGTCAGACGCCGGGCCAGATCCAAGGGGAGGAGAAACAGACTCCGCCTTTTGATGGGAAGAACTGCAGTCACTTTGCAAAGAAGCATGGGGATCGGGAGGGGAATGATTGCAGCCATGTTTGCAAAAGCTCTACACATGGACGTATGTTGTTAATTTTTGTATGACGCTCCCTATAATCAGGTTGTTGTTGCCAAGCTTTTTAGTAACCCTTGGTGACGTTTGTTTGCTTGTTGTGGCAAGTGGTTCATCCATGGGGCCATTTGTCCTTCCAGTGTGTCTCAAAGGTTGTGGTGGTTGGCGAGTTAGCGCCTACCCCTCCCTGAGTCCGACCTGTGTGCTGGAGCAGAGACTTGGAGCTTCTCTCCTTTTTTCAATATGGGTTTACCCTTTGAATGTCTATAGTCTTAGGGTCACTGGCTGCCATGAGGCCACTAGCTGTTTTTGGCATTCTTTTTTTAAAAAACATTTTATTTATCTATTTTAGAGAGGGAAAGATAGGGGGAAAGAGAGGCAGAGAAACATTGACCCGTTACCTCTTGCACATGCCCTAGCTGGGACTGAACTAGGAACCCAGGGCACGTGCCCTGCCTGACACAGGGTGTGCATGAGGAATTGAACCAGCGACATTTGCTTTCCAGGACGATGCCCAACCAACTGAACCACACCAGTCAGGGCTGTTTTTGACATTCTTTATGTTCTTGACTATGACAGAGCATGGTGACTTCTTGGCCCTGGATCTTGGAGGAACAAATTTCCGAGTCCTGCTGGTGAAAATCCGTAGTGGGAAAAAGAGAACGGTGGAAATGCACAACAAGATCTATGCCATTCCCATTGAAATCATGCAGGGCACCGGGGAAGAGGTGAGATGGTTTTGCATTAGCACCACTGTGGTATCTATTCGTCGCACACATGGCCACGGTGGCAATCATGGTCCCCTAAACCTGCCATGTGATGCCTGCAGCTGTGCAACTACGTTCTCATGGCTGGAAAGTGTCAGGTTCTTTCCAGTGCTGGGCTTATGATGCTCAGGGGCTGTGAAGGTCCTAGAGAGAGAGAGAGACTTGCTCTGCATGTGTCAGGGTTCGTGTCTGTGTGTGCACACGTGGGCATTTGGACAAGTGCACCAAAAGTGTGAAACCAGAGAGCGCACATAATCTCTTCTTCTCTCCTAAAGCTGTTTGACCACATCGTCTCCTGCATCTCCGACTTCCTGGACTACATGGGGATCAAAGGCCCCAGGATGCCTCTGGGCTTCACATTCTCGTTTCCTTGCAAGCAGACGAGCTTGGATGCGGTGAGTCAGACCCTGGGCCGCACTGACCGTCCCGGCCATGGGGGCTGGCTCTTGAGGCCTCCTCCAGCCTCATTGCCATCCCTCATTAGTGGGTATGGCTCAGATGTCACAGTGGGTTGACCTAGGCTCTATGCCACACCCTTCAGTACATCCTAAGACTCTTCTTTTATCATTTGAACCTTTTACCTTTGCTGGGAAGCCTTTGTCCTCTAGACAAAAAGAATCTCAGTCTCTTCTGGGTTCCCTGTTCCTTCTAATGGTGCTCGATTATAGTACCTTTTATAGTTATTAACGATTGTGTCTTTCTTTTCTGCTCTGTTGTATGTTTCTTGAGTGAGGACCTTTGTTCCCCACATGCCCTAGCACAGAATTCTATCAGAAGAAATACTTAGTAAATAAATGTTTGTTCAATAAATGGGATGAAACAGGGTCCCAGGTCAGGACTTGAGCACTTGCTGAGTGCTAAGAGCTGGGTGAGCTGAAGGTTACGGTGTCTGTCCTCAGGCAGCCCCCGGTCTAGGGGACCCAGCCCTGCACCAGCCGCCCAGCACTGTTCCAGGGGCTGCCAGCGGGTGGGGGAGTATTCCGTGCAGAGGGAACCTTTTTGCAGTCACGGAGGCAAGACCAAGCCTGTCCTGCTGGAAGAGCCACAGTGCCTCTGCGTGTCACAGGTGGATGTGTGGCCAGGCAGGAGGCCCTGGAGGTGGTGTTACATCACACTTGGCCTTAGGCTGGGGTTTGAGGCATATGGTTGGCAGAATTAGGAAAGCTGGGTGGAGCCGCCTGCCTCTGGAAGCCAGCTAATGAAGTCTCAGTGCCGACTAGGGGCAGTTTTCCCCTTAAGGCTGTTTAGGCATCAGCAGTTGGATCCACATAAGGCTGTTTTTTGCAGTTCATGTACATACCCGCCTCCTGTATCACTGCAGTCCAAACAAACCTCAGTTTTACTTTAGGTAGTTATAGTGCTAACTAAAAATGTCCATTTCTCTACTTAGGTTGTTGGCAGACTGTTGTTCTTCAGGGGACTTAGTTGTATCTGGGGCAGCGCCATTAACCTTCTATGCCTCAGTTTCTCCATCTGTGAAATGGGGGTTATAAATCAGACTGCTGTGAGGATAGTGAAGAGGGGTTGGGCCTACGGAGGACCACTAGTATTTTATTAGTTTGTGCCTCAGCCTTTCCAGCATCGCCTCACAATTCCCAGCAAGGGATGGAAGTTTGTGATGACTCAGGATGGAATGGGATTTTGTGTTCTGCTCATCAGGGCTAATTACTGGTGCCTTTCCTGTTGCAGGGAATCTTGATCACCTGGACGAAGGGGTTTAAGGCAACAGACTGCGTGGGGCACGACGTAGCCACCTTACTAAGGGAGGCGATCAAAAGGAGAGAGGTAATTATTAAAAAGGTGTTTTTAAAAATCTTTACTGTGCTTTTGGGTTATAAAAATCATACTTGCTGATCATAAAGAATTCAAACGATCCAGAAGCATGTGGCCTGGGTAAAAAATTTCCCCAGCGGTCAGCAGTAAAACAGAGGTGAACAGTTTCAAGTTGTTAAAGGATAGTTTGTTTAAAAAGGTAAAATCATAACCCTCCTACAGACTGAAGAAGAGAAAAGCAGTCCCTGACAGCTGGGCACAGCCCAGCACCACTAGTCAGACCACGGTGTCCTCCCATTGGTCACAAACAGCCTCACAGCCGCTCCCTGACTGTGATGGAACCAGACAAGGATAAGAGTGCTTCCTAGGCACGGCAGAGCTCAGCACGCGCTCTGAGAGGTGCCCTGCGTCCTGGCAGCATCCAACCCAGACCAAAGCCCCCCTCCGCTGAACCCCCCTGAAACCACCAGCCCAGGCTCACATCCTCTAACGAGTGCTTTCCAACACTTTCTGAGATGCCCGCAGGGATGTGTTCTCCAGGGTTGCAACCAGCCGGCAGTCTAGCTTTGTTCCACTGCAGCTCTGTTTCTGTTGGTCTTTGGCTGGGCAACATGGGCAAATTATAAAATGAAAGATTCCAGAAATTTTATTTAACTCATTAATTAGGGAAATCAGTAAGAAGTTAAAAAAAAAAAGTAGTTCAAATGTTTCCAGTTTAAAAGAGCAGGCATGTACATGGGCAAGAAGACTGAAATGAATGGGTTTGAAAGAGGGATTGGTTGCACCTAGAAGAGTATGCTAGACAACAACTAACAAACATATCATTGAAAAGAAACCTGATCTATTTTTGCCCGCTTCACAACTCTTTTTTTTAAACAAGATTTTATGTAATTTAGAGAGAGGGGAAAGGAGAGAGAAAGAGAGGGAGAAAAACATCTAGGGGTTGTCTCTTGTATATGCCCTGACTAGGGACCAAATCTGCAACCCAGGCACATGCCCTGACCAGAAATCAAACCATTGACCTTTCGCTTTATGGGATGACGCCCAACCAAGTGAGCCACATCAGTCAGGGCCCATTTCACAACTCTTTTTTTGTTGTTGTTTTTAAGATTTTATTTATATATTTTTAGACAGGGGAAGGGAGGGAGAGAGGGAGAAAAACATCCATTTGTGGTGGCCTCTCACATGCCCTCCCACTTGGTACCTGGCCCGCAACCCAGGCATGTGCCCTGGCTGGGAATCGAACCGGCGATCCTTTGGTTCTCAGTCCAGCGCTCAGTCCACTGAGCCACACCAGCCAGGGCCCATCTCACAACTCTTAATGCTAGTGTTCTTTCAACATACCTTCCATTTATATACCAACACCCATTTTTTAAAAATGGGAATCTTACCGTGTGTACTATTTTACAACTTGCTTTTTTCATCTAATATGAAACAGGCATCTTCTCATGTCACTACATGTAGACCAACCTCATTCTTTTTCTTGACTGTACAGGATCCCCGTGTTTGTCTGAACCATGGTTTACGTAACTTCTTTGGGTCTGTTTTTGGGTGGTTCTTTCTGGCTCATGCAGGTCATGCAGTAAATATCCTTGTGCAGGTACCTTTGTGTACCTGCATGGCCATTTCTGAAAGACAGATTCTGAGAAATAGATTTGGTGTTCTCATTTTGCCCTCTGAAAAGCTGTAACACTTTAAACTCCCAGGAATAAGAGCTTTTGGGCTAAGTCCCTTGTCTTTTATCCATTCCACAGTTCCCTCCAGGCTGCCTCTCTAGAACTCGATACCATCCATGAAGTGGGTAGAATACTTCCTTTCTTTAGACCTCAGCTTTTAGATATGTCGTTAATGGTAGGGGTTTAGTCAGTGAAGGAGCATTTAATTGCCTTTTCAGGCTGGTAAGAAAACCATTTCAGATGATGCACCAGCGGCTTTCTGACTGCAACGCAGCCTAGTGACCCTGAGGAGTTCAAGCCAGGCAGTGCTCTCCCTCCCCACGAGCTAACGCTGTGTCTCTTTCTTTCCAAAGGAATTTGATCTGGACGTGGTGGCTGTAGTCAACGACACAGTGGGCACCATGATGACTTGTGCTTATGAGGAGCCCACCTGTGAGGTTGGACTCATCGTAGGTGGGTGTCCCAGAAGGTCTATCTCCTTGGGGCAAGGAAGGCTGGGTTTTCCTGTTTTGTGGGGCCTTGAACCTGCGGCTCAGCCCTCTATGGGAGACAGTATAACTGAGACAGCGTATCTGTCAGTTTTGTCCCCTTACCACCTCCAGAGTTATATCCTGGACCAAGGCTACAGAGCCCTCGGGGAGGCTCCCCACCCCCCACATTTGATTGTGATCAGACTGTCAAGAAGAAAGCTTTCCAGGAATGAGGTCTTAAGTGACTCAGTGACGAGGTGGATGGCGTGAGGGTACCTGCAGCTGGCCTGGCCTATAGGGCAGCTCTCGAGCTTGAATGGAGAGGCTTCGGGCTGGTGTTGCCAGGCCTGCCGCTGGGAAGGAAGAGGGGCTCTCCTCCTGTTTTGACCTTGGGAAATCTAGATAGTAGTTTTGGGTGCTGTTTTGCCTTTAGCGGCCACTGCTTGTTTGTGAGCAGTCTCAGCCACTGAAGTGGGTTGAGAAGGGTTATCTCTTGGCTTTGCCGTTGTTCCTTTATAACCCAAGCACTTTAGGGGCTTGGGCCTTATGAGCACAAAATTCCTGAAGCATATTTATTTGGGCCGTGAGAAAACCATTTGTCTAATTGAACTTGCTCCTGGTGTCAGAGGATGCTGGGAAAAGGCCCCGTTTCTTAGCCGACATCTGCAGACCCGACTTGGACGGGTGCACTGTGCTGCCTGGACCTTTCATGCAGCGTCTGGGGTAAAGCCCCGCAGCAGGCTGCCCTGCTGGTGCCAGGAAGACCTTTTCATTTGTTAAACCATTTTTGGCTCCCAGGAAATACAGAAAACTAGGAAGCAGCTCGGGTGAAAGGTTATTGGGGGCCTGGCTTTGAGGCTCATTTGTTGTTTCTTCTTTCTTTTGCAAAGCTTTGTTTCTCCACCCAGCCCCTCCCGTCTTTGCCTTATGAATGGGCTTGGGTGTGAAATGCAAAGCCAGAGTGACACAGCACATTCTTATTCCAGGCCCGGCCTCACCTTCCTGCCTGGAGGGTCATGGAAGCCCAATTAGCTCCTTCTGGCACCAGAGAGGAGGGGGGGGGGGGGGTGGAGGGGGGCTCTCCACAGCTCCAGCTGCTTGCCAAGCCACACTTTCCTTCCCTGTTAATTGATCTCTGCTGCTCAGCACTCCCATTGGCAAAAAGTGCGGTTTTTCATGTTTGACTTTTTTTGTACCCACTTCCATTTCTGTTTTACACTGTCTTACAGAACTCCTTGGTTAATTGGCTGGTTTTTAAATTTCCAGGCTACTCACTGAGGCAAAACCAGTGACCCACAAGCTGGGATATCGTGGCAATTAAAACTGCCGTGAAAGTTTTAGATCTCTCCCACTCGATTTCAATACTGAACTCCTCACAGATGAGAACAGACAGTTTGCGGTCCCACCTGCTTCTTGCGGGGGGCGGGCAGGGGGGCACAGTCAGAGCGGCCCTGCTCTGGGGCAGTTCAGGGTTGGGAATCAGGCTCCTGAGCCCCTGGAATCCATTGGTCACAGTGTGTGGTGCACCCAGGAGAGTGGTCCTTTGAGAATCATCAGATTTTCAAAGAGGTCTGTGATACCAAAATGGTGAGGAATCATCACTTTCAAAAGGCACCCCTGAAACGCTCAGAACAATGTCCTCCAGTGTCTAACTCTGGGCTTCGTTCTGGAACACTTAGGGGAGGGTGTACTGAGCAGGCGTAGTCCATGACCATCTTTAGCAAGAAAAGATAAGTGGACACCCATGGTATGATAGTAGACAGCGCATACACACCCCCCATGTAGTATGTGTGTGCGTGTAGAGAGAGGGAGACAGAGAGGAAGAGGGAGCAGGAGTGGGAGAAATATCCTTCCAATCTGAATGTTGCCTAACCGTCCGCCTTTGTAGGTACATCCCTTTGTTGTAAGACCATTTCTATTACAATAAATACAGCTCTACCTCGACCGGTAAACAGAGGAGGCCCTTGGCACTGATGTCTTAGTATAAAGTAAAATTTCTCTCTGGAGGGTTTAACTCTGACTCTCCTTTTACATTCTGAGGTTTTTCTGGAAAACATTGGGGAAGTGAAGCTATTACTTTGTTCATTTCAGAAACACCCACTACCTGGAATCCCAGGCCCCGGGCCTAATTGCATGTCCATTAATTCCCACCTTGTGTGTTCCAGGGACTGGCACCAATGCCTGCTACATGGAAGAAATGAAGAACGTGGAGATGCTGGAAGGGAATGATGGGCGAATGTGTATCAACATGGAGTGGGGTGCTTTTGGGGACAATGGGTGTTTGGATGATATCAGAACACACTATGACAGAGTGGTGGATGAATATTCTCTCAACTCCGGGAAACAGAGGTAATGCTGCCTATCAGAGGAGGCATAGAAGGGGGTCAGGACTGGGAGGGTGTTCTGCCTGTTAACAGTCAGAGAAGTTTCTAGTAGGAGGAATGGGGTCTGCACAGAGGCTGGGATGCTGGTACCTTCCTTGGGTTTCCTCCTGACCTTGGCTTAGGCCCCAGGGGAGTAGTAATAGGGGTTGGTCCCCTGGCATTGTACAAGAGGGCCCAGGTTGCAGGTTGATGTCCTCTTCAGGTGCCTCCTCTGGGGACAGAGTCGGGGTGGCCACACCACTTCCATCAGTGACCGTGTTCAAACCTGGAGCATTCTAGCCTTCCCCTTACTCTGTTTCTTCCCCATCAAAGTAATAGAAATCCCTTAGTCAGTAGTTTTTGTCCTGTTTAGTGGAAGTAAAACACACTTGACCTGCAAATGTCAAAGGACAAGCCAGTGGGGGTGGGGAGGAGTGTCACGGCAGGGAGAGGCGTGGGGGCCGTGGGGGCCCTGGGGGCTGGGCCATGTGGTCAGGGGTGAGGCAGGAGGCTCAGCGCAATTCATCCTTCCCATAGTGGACTTCCTTCGCCACCTAGTGGCTGTTTGGAGCTTTACAGCTTGGGTCTCAGGGACTCTTCCCAGCCAAGCACAGAGACAAATGACCTGTCTCTAGCTCCTGGGATTCAGGCCATCATCCTCTGCCATCCTCAGGATGAGTAGGTCTAAGTTGTGTCCCCAGGGGCAGAAAGAAGGGCTGGGGAGTACCTGTCAAATATAAGTTGTTCTCCAGCCACCCTCCAGATTTTTGCCTTTTCCAAATACTACCTATGCTGTTGTTAAAGTTTTTCTGTAAATGTATTTATTTAAATAAAACTAAATAGTGTTAAGTTTAATGAAGGAGAAAACAACGGGAAACCCAATATTACCATCAATAGATGGCAGTCATAAAATGAATATAGCAAAAAGCATTATTTAATTCTAGTAACTGTTGCCTACCAGAGGCTCTAAACGAAGACCTTGTTAAAAAGGAATCAGCAGGTGTCGGAAGGGGTGAAAGCCATGTCAGCATCAAACTGAGACGGCCCCCTTGGTGGACTGGGAAGGGCTGGGTGGGAACTGGTAATGATAGTGCCACTTCATGTTTTTTCTGTGAACCACCTGAAATCTGGAGTATCCAGGTTACAGTGGACTCTTCCCTGCTTGGGGGCGCTGGGATTGGGCATGGGTCATGGAGGCATTTAATGCCTTGGTCATTTCTTGAGGACCTCGAGTGTGAAGGAGGCAGGACATAAAAACCCCACGACTTGGCCCCCAGGAGCGCGGTGGCCGCCAGCATCCTCCAGTTCTGCTTTGCTTAATCGGCGCTGCCAGGGGCCTGACCAAGTACTCCGGGGTTTGCAGGACCTTCCAAAAATCTAGTAGGAAATTTCCCGTTCTTGTTGTCTTGTCCCTTTCAGACTCGGCCGGTCATTTGCTTTTTCTGTAGATATTTATAGAGCACTTGACAGACAGTCTGGTGCTTTGCGGTGCTAGGCCCTGGGACTCAAAGCTGAACAAGACCCACGTTGTCCCTCTTCACGGGGCTCCTGCTGCAGGGCTGATGAGAGGCAGGGGCCCTGTGTGCATCGTGAAGTGGAAGGGACAGCGTGTGGGGGCCCGAGGCGTGTAGATAACATCTGATCTGGGGAGGCAGGCAGGCCTCTGGAGAAGTGATGTTGGTGCTGAGAGCTGGAATGGGACTTCTCAGAGAAAGGCCAGAACTTAGGTGAGGAGGGAACTGGACCAGCACTTAGACATGCATGTTGGTAGTTTCATTTCTGATCCCGGCAAGGATCAGAGGAGGCCTCGGTCGCTCCTGGCCTCCCTCTGCCTCCGCTGGGAGCGCAGGGCCGGGGGTGCGGATTGGGGCAGGAAGACACCCAGGGTGACCCCGAGACTGAAAGGTTCACATAAACGCCCAGCCCCCTCTTCCTGTTTCAGGTTTGAGAAGATGATCAGTGGCATGTACCTGGGTGAAATTGTTCGCAACATCTTGATTGACTTCACCAAGAAGGGCTTCCTCTTCCGGGGGCAGATCTCCGAACCACTGAAGACTCGGGGCATCTTTCAGACCAAGTTTCTCTCTCAGATTGAGAGGTGAGTGGAGAGGGGCCTCCCTGCAGGGGCCTGTGAGAGGCTCACATGGCTGGGGGTCACCGGGTACCCTAGGGGACCTTTTGGCCATTTGTGAGGAGATTTTTTTCCTCCTATAATTTTATTATAAATTACTTCCCTCTTATTTGTCCTTTATGTTGGGGCATGATATTGATTTGTTCGAAAATCATGTGTGTCACTAGGTTATTGACTCCATTTCAGGCTCGCGAAGACAGTGAAGAAACTTTCCTCCGCCCTTCTGGGTTCTTTTAGAATGTCTAATAATTAAACCTACATAGGACAGATAAACAAGACATAATAATCAAATTTAACTACATGTGTATGGTACAAACAGGGACCCCACCTATGTGAGCGGGGCAGAGACAGAAAGTTAAAATGAAGTATATAAGAAATCATAAAGGAAAAATTGAGTCCTGGCTGGCGTGACTCAGTTGGGTGGGCACACTGAAAGGTCGCCAGTTCCGTCCCTAGTCCGGTCACATGCCTGGGTTACAGTCTGGGGCCTGGTTGGGGCGCGCGCAAGAGGCAGCCAGTCAGTGTTTCTCACACATCGATGTTTCTCTCCCTCTCTCCGTACCTCCCCCCCTCTCTAAAAGAAGTAAAATCTTTTAAAAAAAGGAAAGAAGAAAATTAACAAATTTTGCTAATAGCGTCTATAAGTTTAACAGATCGATTAATCAAACTTATGCTACAAACAACAAACTAAGGAAAACATTGACATTGTATGTGATGAGGTGCAGAGTGTGACACAGTTGGCGAGAGCTTGGTGCGGTCTGGTCCTAAGCCCTGTGCTGTGAGTGCGTTACTCAGTTTCTCCCAGGCTCAGTTTCTTCATCTTTAAGATGGGAGTAATTACACGTTGCTGGTTGGTATGAAGAGGAAATATGGTGATGTATATAAAGCACCTGTCACAAAGTCAGTCCTCAAACAAGGCCGGCTGCTCTTGTTGCCGTTGCCATCGTCATCATCAGTCGCCTACAACCCTTTCAACGGAGTGAGAATGAGACAAAATATCCCAGGAGAATAAAAGCCCTAATGTAATAGTACATATGGCCAATAAACAAATGGAAAAAAAAAAAAGGTCATCCTCACTAACAGAGAAGAATGCAGATTAAACTACGGTATGATGCCATTCTTACCAAATTGTCAAATGTTTTGAAAAGTGATCCTTTCCCCTGGGAACAAGTACAGTCAGATTCTCTGCTGGAGAGAGAATAAATTGAGACAACTTTCTGAAAGGCACTTGGCAATATGTATCAATATCATTTTGACCCAGAAATGTGTCCTAAGGGAAAAATTAAAGTTGCACACTTTAATTTAAAGGAAACTTTATCAGAATGTTACTTCATAACAGCGGAAAGTTACAAACAACTTAAATTTCCCTAAACTGGCTAAATAAGTTGTGGTACATCCCCTGAATGGAATACTGTTTTCAATCCTGTTGTTAGGTAAGGAGGGGGAAATTGCTCAGATGTATGAAGTAGGAAAAAGCAATAAAAAACCCAAATGTAAAGGACAAGGCCATTTTGTATATCATAAGAACAAAGACATTGTTTAATGATATTCAGAAAAAATAGATTGGAAGGAAACATATTAAAATGTTAATAGCATTTCCCCCAGTGTTGGGACTGGGGGATAGTTTTAATTTTCCAATATTTATTTTTCTAGATTTGCCAGACTTTCTATAATTTAACATGTGATGCTTTGGGGATCATTTTTAAAAATAACAAATCAATGTTACTTTGAAGGGAAAAATACCCCATGAGCCATTCATGGATAAGTACAGTGAGTCGGCTCCCAGGCTGCTCTCGTGGGTCATGCTTCATTCCGCCTCCTGGCTTTTGTCCCCTGCAGTGACCGGTTAGCGCTGCTCCAGGTCCGGGCCATCCTCCAGCAGCTGGGCCTGAATAGCACCTGCGACGACAGTATCCTAGTCAAGACCGTGTGCGGGGTAGTGTCCAAGAGGGCCGCGCAGCTGTGTGGTGCAGGCATGGCTGCCGTGGTGGATAAGATCCGGGAAAACAGAGGGCTGGACCATCTCAATGTGACCGTGGGGGTGGATGGAACACTCTACAAGCTTCATCCGCAGTGAGTGGGGCTTCCGGTTGGGATGGGCCGAGCTGCCTGGGCTGGAGCGTTCCTTCGATGGTTATGGGACATGAGGATGTAATTCCCACCAGGAATACTCCTCAGGGGACTTGGGTCTGATCTGGGATGAAGCAGTGAGCTGCTCTGAAGTTTCCCTGAGAGAGGCAAAGTGGCTTTACTTGGCCAGCTCACACCAGCGTCGTGACATGTCCTTCTCCCCGCTCCTCCTGGGCCCCACTGAGGTCAGGCAGAGTCCAGGTGGGGAGCAGGAAAGGAGGTGGAGATGGGCGTGGGCTCACCCATCGGCCTGGCCGGCTGCAGCCTGGCCAGGAGGCTGTTTGGGAAGTGGCAAGAGGGAGTGAAGGAAAGGCGGAGGAGGGCTCGGTATCTTCTTCACCTGCTAAATTAGAGCCGGGAAGGCAGGAGTAGTCTTGGCTCTGGGTTTGTAGCAGGGAGGGCGGTGGGGAATAATTTCTTTTGTTCAAGCGCCCAACACTCAATGCTCGGGGAGGAGGGATGGCCTCATCTGCTCTCTGATCCACCGCATTGTCCCAAATCTTGGCTCTTATGAATAGAGTGACCATATTATTTATTGTCTAAACTCTCGGGCACTTTTACCAGTGAAGACGATGCCGTTAATAATCCTACCAGGACCATCACAGGTACACCAGGCCATGCTGTCACCCCACTTTAAAGCAACATTACCCAACTCATCATGGGCATTACCTTCCTTACCTCACAGCCATGGCTGGGGATGGGCTCATATACCTTGCTCCATTCTCACCTCATCTCTCCACCTTAATAGCTGTCCTCTCCCTCACTGGAGGCAGCACACAGGTGTGGTTAGGGCTAGGCTGGGGAGCCGTACACACTGGGATTTAATCCTGGCGCCGCCCTTTGGAAGCTCGGTTCAGTTGCTCCATCTCTGCCAAGTCTCCTCTTCCTCATGGGATAATAGCCACTGGCAGGACTGGAAATGATGTCTATAACGTGTAAGGTCCCTGGTAGGTGTTCGACAGAGGGCATCCATATTAGCTCTAAGAGCCCCATTGTCCTGAGCATTCTCAGCCTGGTCCTGTCTTGTTTTCAGCACAAAACGCAGGAACCTTGAGTCCCCTCTCATTCAGAGATTACCTTTCGCTCAGGGACCGCCCGCTGTTGGCTTGTATTAGTGATGATGGGCTGGGGGTCTCAGAGGCTGCAGCTCTGGGGAGATGATGTTCGTGCCCATGTGGTCTGCTGACATGACCCAGCCCCGGCCCCCGTCAGCCCGCCTCGGCCGCCCACGCCCAGGCTTTCGTGCTGTTCTTGGTTTTTGGTCCCCTGGGCACTTCAAGGTGTGTCCTTTGAGGATAGGTGTGTCTGAGTGCCTTATTCATGCCCGGGCCCTTATAAACTGTACAGAGTAGTTTGTTTTTGGATTCTCAGCTGAAAATTGTGATAATAGGCGTGACTGTAAATCTATTTTCCTCCCTGCCGTTCTCAGTAAGCCACAGCTCTTGCTAAGCAGCCCCTTCCTGTCTTGTTCGCCCTCCTTTTGCTTAGGGCCCTTGAGCATCTCCGGGTGGGTCTAACGTCGCCTCTCATCTTCCCCTACTTACCTTTTTTGTTCTTGTCTTTTTCAGCTTCTCCAGAATCATGCACCAAACCGTGAAGGAACTGTCACCAAAGTGTAATGTGTCCTTCCTCCTGTCTGAAGACGGTAGTGGCAAGGGCGCTGCCCTCATCACGGCAGTGGGTGTGCGGCTCCGGGAGGAGACGAGCTGCTAAGAGGCCTGGACCCCGAGCCCGCTGCCCTTCCAGCACCTCTCTCTCCAAGCGGCGCCCCACCGTTCTTCCAGCAAGCTGTGCTGGGAGACGCCAGCACCAGAGCCCGCCACTGCCACAGCAGGGAGGAAAACAGAAGCCAACTAACGGCTCATAACGTAGGGTACAAAATAGAGTGTGTGCTGTTGATAATATCTCTCACCTTGAGGTCCCTCCTCACCCGCCCTGCCACTCTGCATGATTTGATTTCAACCTGGCCATATGGTCCCCACGTGTGAAGTTTCGTGGCGTCCATTTCTAATTTATGCATTCGTCCAACAGTTATTTATTGGCCTGAGATGAAAAGTCACACCATCTGACAGGCCCTGTGGGCGTCCGTAGCCCGTCCTTGGGGATGAATCCCCTGTGTGAAACGTATTATCACCAGCAGACACTGCCGGGGCTCCTCCCAGGGGCGCGCGCCCCTTCCTTCCGTCCCAGCACCTACTGCTGTCTGGCGTCCCGAGGTTCCCGTCCGGGCACGTCAGTGCCACTGGATTGTGTGTCTGTGGACCTGGTCATAGCCACGTTGTGACTGTCTTGCATTCTATCTTGTGGGGGGGAGGTAGGCAGTCCTGTGGCAAAGTGTCTTGTCTCTATTTGCCTAAAAGGAACCAATCAACAAAATAGTGCCCTCATTGGAATGTCCCATCGCTTCTGTGAGCCATGTCGTATGACCTAGTAAACTTTGTACCAATTCAAAGACCTGAGTGATGCTTAATGGCTGGGGAGGCGGGGGGATATCTGGGGATACAGCAAAAACCAAACCCTGGGGACTTTTGTGGCCTCCTGGGTTAAGGAGAGAACTGAGACGAAGATTGTGTTCTTCAGCCCCAGCCTTCCTTTGGACGTTCTGAGGACTTCTGTGGTGTCCCTGCGGAGTGTCACAGACCTAACCTCTCCCCTTGCCTCCCAGCACCTGAGCCCCAGGGTCCTATCCTGGGGAGAGGCTCCTGCAGCCCTCACCCCAACACCTTTAAGGTAAAGAGATGTCTTCTGTCCTCCGGCAGCCTGGCCTCATTTGCAGTTGGCACGAAGAAAAAGTCAGCGTGGCTTCCAGGAGCTGTTAGAGCCTAATGAGAGGCAAGTGCAACTTTGGCCTCCCTGCCGTCCCCGCGCAGAGCCTGCCCTTCGTCACCTTCTCTGCCAACTCTGTAAGACAACAGATGCCGTAGACTCCCCCGCCCTAACATAGATGAAACCTTGCGGCAGCCTGGGATAACAAGATGGCTGCACTCTCCCCTGCCCCCTTCTGTAGGAACCTGGCCTCCCCTGACCCTTGCATCTCTCTCCCACCGTTTGGGGTTCTCCCCACAGCCCACCGGTGGATCCCACATCAGTCCGCATTCTGGTGCCCTGTGATTGAGGTGCCATGAGAGTCCCCCAAGACACGACCACAGCTCTAAGTGGCCTCCCCCAGGACTGATTGCATGCTCGCTTGGTTTGGTGAGACCAGATTCCCTTTATTTACGGCACAGTGATTTTTGTGGAGAACACAAAACATTACACTCTGTTGATGTTCATTTAGTGTTACATGGTTCTTCTGGGGTGTTGAGGGGGGGGTGGCAGGCAGGGAGAGGTGTGTCCTTGGGCCGGGCCTGGAGCTTTCTGGAAGTCAGGACAGTTGGTGGTTTCTTCCTGCCACCACCTTGCTGTGAAAATGAGGGTGGGAGTTGTGTTGCTGGCTCGCGGGAGCCATTCCTGTAAAATAGCTGTCATGGGCGTAACAAGAACCATGGCTGCTGTTCATTAAGCATTCAGTCTGTCCCTGGCCTGGTGGTGTCACCCGCACAGCAAGCCGTGCCTTTGGGAGGAGGAGCTGGGGGTCACAGGGATCGTCTGAGCCAACACAGCGGAGGCTGCCTTTAACTGTTTTCTCCCCCGTCCCTTGGACGCTTCACCATCAATACTGGGCTGGATGAGTATTTCGATGCCGAGGGAGAGAAGCCCCTTCGCTGTGTCTGGAACCTGATGATGAATCAGTGTCCTGTTGGGTGCTGCCCACAGCTGGGTTTTGTTTTGTTTACCCAACATTTATAAAAATGCGAACCAACTATAACAAGTCTGGAAGTCTCATAAATTTGGATTCCTGGCTTCGCTTGAAAGACTTAGAAGATCGGGCAAGAGTGGATCCCCATTACGACATGGCAACATTTGTTCAGAGCTGATCAGTCACTGTCCCCTTCGGATGCCTATGTCCTCTGGTTTGCCACCGTTCCCACCACTCCCTATGACCCCAACATTGGAAGCCTGTTGCCTTTTAGCATCATAACTGCAGTTTTTCTTTTATACGGGATCCAATTTGCTCATTATGTTGTATGCCCCAGGAAGGTATCTGAGCTTGCAACTCCTGGATGAGATAAGTTGAGCTTACACTGTCGTCTTCTTCTCTTCCTGGCTCTCCTGAAGCCCTTTCTGAGAGGGAAGGCTGGCCCCTCTTAAAGTTAGCATCTACTTAGAGTTCCCGGACCCATCTTTTTCCATCGATGTATTGAAGGGTGAGGCATGGGCTGAATTTTCAGATCTGGTCTCCTGACCTGCTACTTCTCAGACGGTGCTAAGCCTCACCCTGCAGCCAGGTGCAAGGCTTTAGGATTCAGTGGGCACCCCATGTTGGGGACCCCGAGCCTGCCCATTAGTAGCCTCAGATGAGGCCACATCCCCATTCATGAATAAAGTCTCTTTAGTGTGACACCTGTTGACCCTCCGGGAGAGGGATGGAGTGTGAGTCAGCTCAATCTTATCCTCCTCGGTGGGCGTGACCCACGGGCAGCACCGGAAAGCAATCCGGAATCCGGAGCGAAACCTGGGCCATGGAGAGTCAGCTTGAGCAGGAGGTCAGGGGGACAAGTTACAGGAGCTCTTGTGTGGCTGCCCCCCGCCCCCAGAAGCCCATCTCCCCTTTAGGAAAGTCACTGCCTCGCTCCCAAGCACCTACGGTTGTTCAGGGTCCCAGTTGAGACACATTCTTTAGTGACTATGTTTTGGAAACAGCCAGAAGTAATCTGGAGCTAAGTCCAGTGATTAAAGTGGATATTGAGCTGAATTACACCACTTGATATTATCAACAGACAAAAAGTAAGCAAGTACAAATTATATAGAAACAACAGATTTTCTTGTTTGACTTGTTAATTGGCTTCTAAAGGAATACTCATATAAGTCAAAAAAAAAACAAACAAAACCCTGGGGCTTTAGCAGTGTGCGGTGGAATATGGATGCTCTCCTAAGGGGACTGCTTTGAAAGGAAATGTGCATTTGGAACTGTGAAGTTTTGGTACATTTGCTTAAAAAATAAACAGCTCTCCCCCTGGCATCACTGAGGTAAAAGGAAGCAGACAGGGAGCAAAAGAAATCAAAGAGGAGCAGAAATAACAGAGGAACACTGGCCGGTCAGAGAGGAAGAGAAATAAATGAGACCCTGCGTAACCGCCGAGAGGGGGAGAACTCTTGTCTGTTCCCAGGGGCCGCAGGGCTCCACGTTCCAGGAGAGCCATGTGATTCATGTGCTCACTCTAGCTCCTTGCCTCATAGCTCTGCGAGATTCCATGGTGTGGCCCAACAGATGCCTTTATCGTGGGAGCTTAGTGGCCTCTGCCCCCCGCACCCACAGTCAGCACGGCCCAGCCCGGGCTAACCATCGCTGTGCCCAGGCCCCTCCTCACAGCCCTCCTCATCTCAGCTCCTGACAGCTGGCGTCCTTGTCCTTCCAGTTATTCAGGCCAAGAACTTGGGGGTCATCCTTGATTTCCTCTCCCAGGCCACCCTCCCTCCATCAAATTCCGTTGGCTTTACCTTAGCAATAACGCCAATTCCGACCTCTCCTCGCCCTGGTCTAAACCCACCATCTCTCGCCTGGGTTAGTGCCGCAGCCGCATCATCGCCCTGCTTCTCCCCTTGCCTTGCTGTAGTCCGGTCCCAGCACGGTGGCCGCACTGATTCTTTCCAAAGGGAAGTCGGAGCATGTGTCTCCCGGGCTCAGAGCCCACTCACTCCTCAAATCTTTGTTCAAAAAGCTCCTCAGTAAGGCCCACCCTGGCCACACTGCAAGGCTGTGGCCCCCGCCTGCTGCTTCCCCCAGCCTTCCTGTCCTGTCTTCTCTCACCCGGCTTTCGTTTTCTTCTTTTATCTGCAGGACTTATCACCTAAAACACTCCGTGGCTCATGCACTCACTATGTCTGCTTATTGACTGTCCCCCCCACTAGGATGTCAGCTTCCTGAGGAAAGGAGCGTTGTTTCTATTCACTTGTGTCTCCCAAGTGCCTGGGACAGTGCTGGGCACACATGGCCACTTGTCTCCCTCTAGAGCTAGTGTCATCAAATATGGAATGATCCAGAACTTATTTCAGGAACTTGGAGAGTTTCCTGGAGAAGTAGAGCCCTGCAGTGTTGCTCGCCTCCCAGGGACTGTGTCCTTGAGTCGCAGAGGATGACCAACACAGACACTGTGGGCGGGGGGCACCTCCCTCATGTGACAGTCCCTGTCTCCAAGTTCTCACTCCTGCAGCTGCTTGCAGGGGAAATGTGCGATGTGGGCTAAGGGTACAGGCCTTGGATACACAGGGAATGCTGGCTCCACTGCTTGCTGTGTGAGTTTAGGAAAGTCTTCCTTTCTGAGGCTCAGTTTCCTCATCTCTAAAATGGGAGCAACACCTCCCTCTCTCTATTAACTACTTACATGGCAGGAGAAAATGGAGGGTTCTGGCACCCTTTAAATACTAAAAAAAAAAAAAAAAAAATTATAGTTTTCTCACTTCCTTCTGGCCTTCCCCGGGTGGGTAGGATGTCCGAACAACCAGTGGCATGAGTGGCCTGGATATGCGGGCTGGGAGGCAATAGAAGACATGAACAAAGAGGCCCGGGGCCAATCCCGCCCATATCACTCTTGGTAAGGCCAGGACTCGGTGTCCACCTTTCATCGCCTTTGACCTGACCCTCCCTTCAGGGTTTTCTGGGGCCGCATGGCCTGCTCTGTAAGCGGAAGCCCTGGGTGCTGGGGTTTCTGCCTGGCCCAGCACCTCTCACCTCTCCAAGTGTCCCAGAACAAATGCCAGCCCCTCTCTGGGACTCTGCTTCCCCAGAAGTACCGAAGTGGGGAGAACCAGATGGTGTCTGGGAGGTGTGAGATCCTGGCTCCATCCTCCCTGGCTGTCTCTGCCAAAGTCACTTCCCTGAGAGCCCCTTGAGGGCAGGAAATGCACTGTGACCTTCCCAGGGAGCAGACTGGGTGGCTCTGGGTCTCGTCTGACTGAGTGCTTCATGCTGCTGGGATTGGTACTGTTCTCGCCCAAGGCAAGTCCTTGGTTCTTCCTCGTTGCAGGAAGCTCTTAAAAATGCCAGGACAGCCCTGATCCGTGTGGTGCAGTTGGTTGGGTGTTGTCCCACAAAGCAAAAGGTTGCCAGTTCGATTCCTGATCAGGGCATCTGCCAGGGTTGTGGGTTCGGCCCCAGTGGGGTGCGTGCAAAAGGGGGAATGTTTCTCTCATGCATTGCTGTTCTCTTTCCCCTTTCTCTAAAAATAAAGAAATAAAATCTTAAAAAATAGCGTCAGGACAGATGAAGTCCTTTACCCGGCTTCTTCCTTCCTCCCTCTCTGTCTGTCCTTCTGCCTCTCTCTGACTCTCCCCCTCCCTCCGTCTCTCTGTCCCTACCTTCTCTCTTCTCCTTGTTCCGGATGTAGTCCTCAGAAGACAGAGCAGGAGTAGACAAATGGTAAGAGCAATGGGGCGGGGCTTTGGGGAGGAGGCGGGGCTCACACCAGAGGGAGGACTGTTCTGCGGCCTCACTGTAAGAATGGCAATCCCCTGTGAGGGTGGGAGGCACAAGGGCACAGGCTCAAGCTGCACAGAGAGGTCCAGATGGGGCCAGGCCTTGGGGCCCTGAGGGCTGAGGAAGGGGGCCGGGATGAGGGCTCACCTGCGATTGAGGCAGCAGTAGATGATGGGATTGTACATGGTGGAGCTCATGGCCAGCCAGAAGAGCGCCAGGTAGACCTGCTGAATGAATTTGTGGCAGTAGATGTCCTCCTGGAAGTTGCCCAGGATGAAGTAGAGGTGGTAGGGCAGCCAGCAGACGGCAAACGTCACCACCACGAGCACCATGGTCTTCACAAACTGGTCCGGGAGAGGCTCAGGTCACTCCTCAGCCTGGAAGCCCCAGGCCCCAGTCCCCATTCCTCCCAGGGGTGCGGCGGGGCGGCAGGGGCAGGAGACCCTCTTGCCAGTCTGGGGAGCCCTCAACAAGCACGTCCTGTCCACCTCTGTGGCCTCAGTCTCCTGGACACCCCTGAGCCCTCCATGCTGGGGTTTTGCTCAGCCTGGTCCCCCTGCCCACAGTGCTGCCCCTCCACTGAAGTCTTCAGTCTTCAAAGCCTAACTCAGTGGCCACTTCCTCTAAAAGGAATCCTGGACCCCTCGTGAATGAGCACTCTCTCCTAACCCCATCCTTCGGGGAGCCCATACGCCAGCTATGGGTTTCCAGCCCCACCTCCTGCCCTGGGATGTGCCTGCCACAGCCCTTCTACCCATAGGTAGTGGGGCTCCAACCTAGGACCCCTGCCTGTTTCTAGGGCCCAGCTGACATTTCCCTCCTCGTGGCTGATTTCAGCAGGTGCCCTTGAGCATAGCCCAGTACCTCACGAGGGATGGAAGACAAGCCAGGGCTGGCAAACAGAGACCAGCTCTCCATGAGGAGGGACACCAAAATGGTGTCCCAAATCCAACCACCTCCCTGAGTTGCCCTGAAAAATTCCTGATGTAGATGAGAAGTTGAGACTTTGACCTGATACATATGATTAACCTATTACCTCTCCTCTCCTAACAGGAAGTGGGCAAGTCAAAGATAAGCTTTGAACGCTGTATCGGGATCTTTGGAGGCCCCAAATGGCAGGGAGGAGGGAGGCACCGGCACTACTTCTGGAAATTCAAGACAGACGATATAGTCTGTATGATCTCTGAGGTCTGCAATTCCAGCATTTGAAGAGTTCTCCTGTGATTCTAGCAAGGTGCCTCCTGTAGTTCTGTGGGGCTTCTTAAATTCAACATTCTGATTACTCAAAAAGTCTAAGATTTTAAGATTCGGTCATTCTGAGGTTCTTCGAGGTATTTGAAATTCTGCGGGGCTTTAGGATTCCACGATTTTCATAACATTTTGGAAAGTTCCATTAACTTTGTATTTGGCCAAAAACCAAGGGCAAGTATGCTTGCCCGAGAACAAATTCAGGCGCCGGCCAGGGACTTGGGACCCTGGAAGCTACGAGCGGATCCTGTGCCCTGCGGCGCCCCCTTGAGGGCTGGCCTGGAGCCCGAAGAATGACCCCGCCCGGCCCCACCTCCGGCGCCCACCTTCTTCTTGGCCTGCAGGTATTGTGTGTTGGCGCCGTGCGCGTGGTACCCGGGGACGGTGCGTCTCCAGAGCGTGAAGCCGATGACGCTGTAGGCGACGAACAACACCACGAGAGGCAGGAAGTAGATGAGCGCGATCACTATGAGATGGTACCTGGAGGGAGAGCCAAGGGCACCGACGGTCTGCGGCGACTTCCTCAGTCTCCTGGGCCCCGCGGGCGCCCCTGAGCCGCCCTGGAGTCTCCCCTGGCGAGCCACCCTGAGGCCTTAGTTTGATTTAAAGAAAATAAATAAATAAAGGCAACATTCGCTAGCACAGGTGCCCAAAGGGGGCTTTCCCTGCTGCGAAAGGGACCACCAGTGTTAGCCTGCATCAGACCAAGTGACAGACAAGTACCAAAAAAAGAAAAAAAAAAAGAAAAAAGAAAAGCAAGAAACGGGAACGAAAATGTTAACCAAGTAATACATTTGTTTAAAATTTAAAAGGCCATGAAGCACAAAGGAGGAAGTAAAATTACTTTTCCACCCCCACCACTATTAACAATTCGGAATATTTGGAATATTTTTTTCCAGAATCGTGTGTGTGTGTGTGTGTGTGTGTGTGTGTGTGTGTGTGTGTTGCCCACCCATCCCCAGAGAGCTGGTGTTCAGTACCCTAGGTTCTTACTGGTCCCCAGCACAAGGAGAAGAAGCCTGTATTAAGGTGGAGAAACACTGCCTGCCAGTGGCTAGTTACAAAACATTCGGCTCTCTATCCCTCCCTGAGCCAGAAGCCGCATCGCTTCCCGACAAGACACCGCTCTGGAGCAGTGAGTCCTGAGAAGGCAGGATACAGGCTAAGGGCGAGACCGGGGCAAGGCCTGCCTTCAAAACTCAACACTCCCCAGGAACAGGCTTCTCAGAGGAATGGCCCCTTCCCCCATACTGAAGGCACAGCGTGGCCCTCTTCCGGCTGGTGCTCAGGACAGAGACCAGGTACGGGTGGCTTTGGGGGAGGGACATTAAAGGAGATGTGAATGGGGGCTGTGTTGCTATGGTGACCTGGCAGCCCTCAGAGCATGCATATCCTCTGGCTTGAGGCAGCTGGGTCCTTGTTGGACTATATCTACCACCTTCAGGTTTGTTTTCATGTTCCCTATTTAAACTACTACATACCGGGTCTCCAGTTCTGTGATAGGCATGGTGCTAAGGGCTTCACGTACATTTTCTTGTTTGTGCTCACAACAGCTCTTGAGCAAGGTTCTTTTACTAAAAACCTCCATTTGAGAGAGAAGGAGCCAAAGGGTCAGAGAAGTTAAGTGACTATGAAGGGTCTTCCAGTCAATAGGAACAGAGCAGGGCTCTCTACCCCAACTATGACTCCAAAACCTCAACCAATTCTTTGTCCTCTACTAATCAACTATGCCATGGTTGGGGATCAGGAAGCCATGCCATGAGAACTAGGCAAATAGAGGCCCTGAAAGGGAAAGGACTTACCCAGGGTCACACAGTGGCTGGGTCGCGGTGAGTCTTTTCACCCCATCCCCACCCCAGAGCCCTTAGCGCCCCCCTCTGCACAAGGCAGGTACCGGGCATGCTCCTGAAAACATCCCCAGGCTCCATCACCTGCTCTTTCTGCATCAATATCCTGACCCTTGTGGTCCAAGCATTTACAGTGCCCTCCACAAAACACACACCTATACACACATTCCTGAACATGAACCTGTGTGCACACGCATGTCTGTAAGCATACCTACAAACTTACACACATACACACACAGACACAAATGGGTGCAGCATGCCTGCACATGTAGCATCACATACACATGTGCAAGCATCGGTATCCTCACTTAAGAATGCACACATCCTGATTTAAGTGGCGGAGTGGGAAGGAGACTGGGCTGTGAAGCAGGACTGCTTGTATTTAACTCCTTGCTTCACCACTTACTATGTGTGTGGTCTTGGGCACACTACTTAGTTTTTTAGTGCCTCAGTTGCTTCATCTGAAAAATGGGAAGAATAATACTACATACCCCATAATGTTAGGGGAATTAAATTAGTTCATATGTAATGTTCTTAGAGCAAACCTGATACTTAGTAAGTGATATTACTTTTAGCATACATGCGTACCTACATAATCCCAAGTACTCTCACAGACACATGTGAGTACCCTGTGCACACAAGCACACACATTGTCAGGTACATGCACATGCACACCATGCTTCCCCCACCCCCTTCCCAGCCTTACAAAAGGAGCATCTTGCCACCATCGTCTTCAGGCCAGGCCACTACACACTTGGTGGCTCCCTGGTCCATGATGATGGTAGAGTAGAAGCACTGGGGGAAGGCGAGGGCCAGGGCCACCAGCCAGATGCCAGCGATTACCGCTCTGGTGCCAGGGGCTGACAGCCGTGGCTGGAAGGGGTGGACAATGGCCATATACCTGTGAACAAAGGGCGGTATGAGCAGTGGGCACCCTCCCGTCTGACCACCCTCTCCCCCACTCTCTCCCCCACTACAGGCCCACACCCTCTGGCCCCATTCCCCACACTGCTGCTGGTGACCTGCGGAGAGCCAGTTAGGCCGGTGACTTCCCACAGCCACATGGCACCCTAGTGGCCTGAAGTGCGCTAGGCCCCCGCTATAGCACTTTCCTCTGAATATGGACTTGCTTTCAAATGGCCACAAGAGAGCAGTGTGGCCCCGTTGGAAGTCCATCTCTGGACATTTGTCTCTTGGCTCAGCCCAGCCAAGCACCTCAGCCCTAGGCCAGTCCCTCTTCTGTTTAGAAACTTCAGCAGAGCCCAGTAGTCTCCTGAACAAAGCCCAAAGCAACACTGCCCACCAGCTTTCTGTAATGGTCAAGACACTCTATATATGCACTGTCCTAGTCAACAGCCACTAACCACATGTGGCCCATATGAGTGAGGAACTGAAATTTTTTAATTAATTAGAACGTAGGCATAGACAAGGCCTGTCCAGAAAGTATCCATCCATGTACTATGAAAAATAGACATTTATTGAAGAAGATACAAGATACAAGAAACATTGTATGTAGGACAATGACACCTCAGTCCCTTTCAAAGTAGGCACATTGGGACCTCACACAATTCTCCCAATCACCATTAGCTGCCCTGTTGTATTCTCCTGAATCTCATTGACAATCTGAAATCTCTTCCCTTTCAAAGGTGATTTTAGTTTTGGGAAAAGCCAGAAGTCACAGGGCACCAAATGTAGGGTGCAGGGGGACTGAGTCACCTGGGCGATTTGATATTATGTCAAATCATTCTGCACGAGACGTGATGCATGAGGCGCTTTGTTGTGATGAAACTGCCAATCCCCAGTTGCCCATAGCTGCAGACTTCTGACTCATCTGAATAGTTTCCACAGAGGAATGTACAAGTTTAATGCAAAATTAGATGCAGATTCATTGCTTTACTTGCTCAGTTCTTTTGAATACGACGGCCACACAGTACACACGCTCACTCAATGGTGTCTACCACCCCCACTGACTAGTACAGTGAAGTCATCATTGTTCACACATGCGCATTCCAGTCCACTCTCCTTGGCTGGCAGGCTACATCACTGTCGCATAAACCATTCTAGTTATATCAACAATGGCTGGACTTTTTCCAGATAGACCTCGTATGGCTATGGCTACCTTAGCAGAAAATGCCAGGTCCACCCTTTAAAACGCAGCATTCAGCGACCTCTGCACAGGGCCAGCACACTTCCCAGCCTCCTGTGTCACTACTTCCCATACCTTCCCTGGCCCACTCTGCGCATGGAGCAGCCCTGCTCTTCCCCAGCTGCAGGTGTAGTACCCAGGACTACAAAGATAACCAATTATACTGAAATACCATCATTAAAATATAAATTGAATTTGCGACATAGTAATATATCTACTTCTTTATCAACCCAATAAACAACAAGATCTAGCAGCAGGTCTGGAAACTATGGAAATTTTGAAGTAGTGGTGAGTGTAGGGACTACTTTGCAATTTCTGCACAACAGAAGCATCTGTGACATCTATTGGTAACAGTCCCAGGCACGGCTGGAGTCCCAGCAAACTGCGGTGTGCTGCCTGCATTTGTAATTGTGAACCCCTCCAAATTTAAGACCCCTCACATTTCTGCCCACAGTCCTTGGTTGCAGGTTGTGCGTGCCAGCACTAGATGGCTGTTGACCCCGTCCATCCCCACCCTGTGACACTGACCTTCTCCCTTGACTGTGGCCTGACCCTGGGCCAAATACCTTAGCAGGACAAGAGAAGTAGGCCATGTCCCTCGAGATTCTTCAGCACCCCACGCCCTCGTAGATGATGGTCAACCTGTGGGCTTAGGTGTCCTTCCTGTTCTAGGAGGTGGGATGGGAAAGGAGAGCTTTTCTTCTTTTTCTATTGGTAGAGGAGCAAGTCTGAGGCTTTGGATTCAGGCTGATCTGGATTTGAATCCTGACTCTACTGCTTCCCAGAAATAGGCTCGTAAGCAAACAACCTAAGCTCTTTGGGTTCTGTTTTTGTTTCGTCCTCTGTGAAGTGGGTTGATAGAAATTTGTGCCATTAGGGTAGTCGGGCAGAGCAAATGAGATGCCTGAAAAGTGCCTGCAGGCAGCAGGGGCTCAGGGCTTGAGAGTGTGATTATTCCTATTATTTATTTCCTTTAAATTTACTGGAAATGGCTTTGGCCCTCAATGACCTCTGGGTCATCCTCCCGGAGATTAATCTGAACCTTGGGACAAGGCCAGGACAGAGGGACACGGTCTCACATTTTATTTAGCCTGTGCCCTGAGCAGGGGGGCGCCCGTCTTGAGGTCTGCAGCGTTCAGTGAGCTACCGACCTTGTGCTGGCAGCATCCCCCCCCGCCTGGGTGGGGACCCCTCCGTGCTGCTCCTCACACACACCAGGCTGCCGTGCCTCTTTGCTGCTGCTGCTGCGCCTTCTGCGTGGAACATTCCCCAGAGCCCAGGGGGCTCACGCTCTCGCTTCTTTCCTGTCTGCTCAAATCCCACCCTCAAAATAAGGAGAATTCTGACACCGTGTCAAACACTACAACCTGCCCCCACCCCAACACACACACCCTCGTGCCTCGGACCCCCTTTCTTCTTCCTAGTACTTTGCCATAGCCCCGGTGATCTCAAAATACAATATATATTTATGCATGCGTTTGTTACTTAAATTCTCACCAGCGCAGGCATCTTTACCTGTGATTTTTTCCCTCAATGCCCAGAACAGTATCTGTACACAGTATCTGAACATATGAATAAATGAAAAAATAAACGGGTAAGTCTCCACTATTACCACCCTGACCTGAGCCACCATCCTCTCTCACCTGGATTACTATTCAGCAGCCTGCTGCCGGGGCTTCTGGCTCCCACCCTGCCCTCTACGGTCCATTCCCACATCTCCCACCTCCTTTAAAACGGAAAGTTTTAGGAGGTTATGATTTTGGGACAATTTTTCCCATTGGTGTACATTCCCCAGTGCTTGAAATGGAGGACACACTCAGGTATTTGTTAAGTAAAGGAGAAGGAAATCTTAGTGGGACTTTCGGGTATATCCAGGGGGTATTAAGGTGTCTTTGCGGTGATGGAGGGGGGTTGTGTGTCCAGGTTCCAGGCGTCTGGCCCTACCCTTGCCTTGCTGGCTGACTTCAGGGGACGCTGACCATCTCTCCAGCCTCAGTTTCCCTGGGTGCAGAATTAGAAGGTTCTAATTCTGGCCCAGATGAATGTTTTTAAACTTTCTTTTTGTTTTTATTTATTATTTAAAATGTTTTATTATTATTATTTTTAATTTTCACCTGTGGATACATTTATTCATTTGAGAGAGAGAGAGAGAGATAGACATCAACATGAGAGAGAAAACTGATCTGTTGCCTCTCATATGTTTCCCGACTGGGGATCAAATCTGCAGCCCGGGTATGTGTCCTGACTGGGGATTGAAACCACAACCTTTTGGTATACGGGACAACACTCAACTAAGTGAGCCACCCAGTCAGGGATCTTTTTTGTTTTTAATGAGTGGACATAAATTTCTCAAATGAAATCTTCAGGGAGACTCTATTAATAAAGCAGCTGAGAGCAGAGAAGTGAGCTGCTGTCGGTGAGAGGTTGCTGAGGTAGTTGGGTTGGGATGGGGGACCGTGAGCCTCACCCAACCATCCTGCCTTGTCAGGGTCCCAGGCTCCTGCTCTGCCTCTCACACATGTCTGATGTCTTCCCTCTGTTTCTTTCTGTTCACTGTCTGTCTTAACCATGCTCCCTCAGGGACATACAGTCCCCTTCCACCTTCACACAGGGACCTGCCTGCCCCAACCAGCATTTTAAGGATCCAAGCCCCGGTCAGTGTGGCTCAGTTGGTTGGGGCATTGTCCCACCCCGTAGACCATAAGGTCTCGGGTTTGATACCTGGCCAGGGAGCATACACTGGTTGGGGTGCTTAGGAGGGGGCCACCAATTGATATTTCTCCCTCATATCAGTTTCTCTCCTCCCCCTCTCCTTTCCCCTTTCTCTGAAAGCAATGAAAAAATGTCCTCAGGTGAGGATTAAAAAAACGTATAAGAGAGGGTTCCATATTTGCTCACCCATCACTCCTCCACCCCTCCCTGACTCACCCAGCAGAAGTCACGGTCTGCAGCCGTGAGAGCAGCCTTGGGAAAGTAACTGGCCCCGTGTAATTATATGGTAACTGCATGCAGTATTAAATTTTCCTCTCATATAATCTATCTAGGCATAGAAAAACCATGCAAGCAATTTCCTTGTAGTAAAAGAAAGACCTCATAGTAAAGATCAACTCCAGGAAAGAACACCCCAAAAAGTCCCTAAAACACTGCCACTCGTCCTACAGCCTGGAAAAACCATCGGGTGTAAAGTTCTTCCTGTGTCTAACCTTAACCTTACGTGCTTCTGTTCCATAATCCTCTGCCTTCCAGAGTTTTGCATAGTTTTGGATCATGATCAGACTGGGAGGCAATTCCCTGGGTTCCACGCTGAACTTGCTATGAAACCTCGGGCAAGTCACCAGCCCTGTCTGAGCCCCAGCAAAGTGAGACAGCTCCCTCCCAGCTTCTCTCAACCCCCACTGCCTCTTACCTGTCTGCTGCAATGGCGGCCATGGAGTAGATGCTGACAAACATGGCGGTGACAGGGAAGAGGTTCTGGAAATAGCAGAAGGTGCGGCCAAAGTACCAGATGTTGTGGCTGGCGTAGATGAAGTTGAAGACAGCGTTGAAGGCAGCCATGCAGAGGTCAGCCACGGCCAGGTTGACAATGAAGTAGTTGGTGACTGTGCGCATCCTCTGATGGGCCAGGATGATCCAGATGACAGTTGCGTTGCCCGTCACGGCCACCAGCACGAGGATCAGGTAGGCTGCAGCCCACAGCGCCAGCTGCCAGCCGGGCATGGAGAAGGTCGTGACACCCGTGGTGTTGCTCTCAAAACCAGATGAGATGTTGGTATCAGCACAGGTCCCCATGGCTGCCTCTGGGTTTGGGACAAGGGGTCTGGCTCCTCAGCTCCTTCTGCACCCTGCTGCTCTGCCTGGATATGCTATAGAAGAGAAGTCCTCTGTGGCGTGAGTATATGCGGCAGAGAGGAGTAGGTGCAAAGCCACGTACGTCAGGGAAAGCAGGGGTCACTCCCAAGTTACAAACAGAGCTGAGTCAGGCTGAGCAGAGAGTGGGTTCCAGAGCCATTGGCATTTCAGATTCCCATGTCCTGGCTAGACTTCTCCAGTGTCACAGGGAAATCTAGAATCCAAGACCCAGTTCGGTTTCAAAGCAGGAGATATTCTTGTAAATTATGAGTCAACCCCTTTGCTGCAGAAATGGAAAAACAGATTCCAAGGAGGGAGGTGAACAACAGCCCAGGTCACTCAGGAAATTCGTGACAAGTCAGGACTCAAACCCAGGTCCATCCTAATACTGTTCAGGAACCACTCTGGATCAGAGGAGCACACAGCAGCAGCCTTCGGATCCCACAGGTCAGCTGCGCAGCCGGCTTTCTCTCCAGGCTTTGGGGTGCAGGCCGGGCTGCCAGCTCTCGGAGCTGCTTCCTTTCCCGCTGCTCTCCCGTGCCGGCCAATGAGGGCCTTGGCAGAGGTGGTGCCTGCTCATGAGTTGGGGCTTTGGCTCCCGCCCCTTGTCCCACCCCTGCTTGGATGACCCAGCCTTGTTTCTTGAGGAAAGATTTAGGACTGGCTGCCAGGCAGGGAGAGACCTAGGGGAAAAAGGGGCGGCAGGCGTGGGGACTGGCATGGAGGGCACAGTTTGGTGCGCTGTTTATATTCAGCCTGGGCCAGGGGCTCTATCTAGAAAGTGATTAGGAGTATGTGCTTGGGAGCCAATGTGGGTGTGAGTCAGTTTCAGTGACACCGGGCATTGAGCTTCAGCTTTCCTTGCTGGCGGAGGGTGGGGGTGGGGGGTGAGGAGGAAAAACCTGTGTATGTCCCTTGGTATACAACAGGTCCTTGAATAATGTTTCATTCAATGTCATTTCATCATAACATTGATGAGGTGTTGCAGGAACTTAACTCTTGTTTATATCAATTAGCTTAGGGTAAAGTTGGTTTTATTTTACATTGTTTTGCTTGAAGTTGCAGAAGTTATCGACAATGATAAATGAAGACTTACTGTATTTGTGAGTTTTAAATGAGATGATGTGTGTAAAGTCTACTTAGCACAGGGGTAGCCCACAGGAGGCCACCCAGAGAGCTCAGGGCTCTGCAGAGAAGGCAGAACTGAAAGTACTTCTAACTAGTTCTTAAATGATGCTGATGATGCTGGTTCAGGGACCTCACTTTGAGGACCACTCTCACAAGACAAGGATAAGGCTCACTGCCTCTTCTGTGAACCCCAGAAAGGCTGGGTGGAGCTGCTCTGGGTTCGTCCACGGGAATCTGCTCTTGGTCATTGACTGTGTGCACATGTGTCAGGCACCGAGGGCAGCTGCAATACTGTTTCTGAGTGATTATACATGCGTGGCTGTGCACACCTGTGGGTGTGTGGGACCTGAAGGTGGGCAGAGTGTGCCCCTCATTAAAGCAGAGGGGGTTCTCATTCACTAGCATCGCCGGCCCTGCTGTGCTAAGCATGTGGTTGGTCTTTTGGGAGTCCAGCCCCTACGCCTTGGGGTGGGTCTGCTTCCTGGGCCCTTATTCCTCCCATTGGTGTGTTTACTGTGGGGCTCTTGGGATTCCTGCCCTCCCAGAGTCAGCACTGGACATGGCTGGCGCCAGTCCTGGCCAGGCCACGGGGCAGAGGCCTGATGTCTCTATGAAGCAGGCCACCAGCTTCTGTTTGGACTTCTGTACTTTGCTGAAGGGCCTCTGCCTTTGATCTCTTTTGGTGACAGCAGCAGCATCCACTCAACTTCGGGGCTTGTTTCTGTCTCCTGCTCTCCTGGCCAGGGTTCAGAGGCAGAACGTGTAGAAATAGGATGTAAACACAAGACAACCTTCTCTCTTTGCTGTTCTGCTTCCTGTTCCCAGGAAGCTGGAATTTGTTGGGCTTCAGGTGCAAGCACACTGCAGGGCTGTGACACTAGAAAGAGTATCGCCAGTCATAGAAGTCCACAGCAGTACAAATTCCCCATCGCCCCATCATTCCACCTCTGCCATTATATATGTAATGGGGATTCTGTTTTGGAACTATTAAACCTAAGAGTTTTTATCCCCTCCTTAAACCATGTGTTCTTGCAGCTTTCCAACTAGGTGCTTGTAACTTCATGGGAGGAGAGGGTGAGGGGCCATCCAGGACAAAGAGGTTCCTGATCAGCCTTGCTGCTCAGGGTTGACTTGCTGAGTCCATCGCTTTACATTGGTCTTGAAGGCTAGTCTTTGTGAAATGAAAAAAAAAATATTTGAATTCTTTTAGCTCCTATGGGTACATGAACCCTCTGATTTGCTCATTGAGGTTCGTGTATGGGATGTCCCCTCCACTAGCTAGTTGGGAACCTCTAGGAAATGACTTTGATTCAGAGTTTAGAGGACAGGATGTTTATTAGGGACCCGCACTCGGGGAAGGGAGGAGGAAGTAATAGTGGGTGGAGGAGGAAGTTGAGCTGCCCTGTGGTAGACAGCAGCCTTGGACAACCCTGTGGATCCCTTTGGACTAGAATGGCCCGTTAGAGTAGCCCTGTGTTGGGCCAAGGTGGCCAGGTCTTTACACTTCCACATCCATCACTGGGTGTAGGCTGTCCCGAGGAGGGGTGTGGTCTTGCACGAGGCAGCTCTTTGCAGCTGAGACAATGACTGAAGGAAGCGAGGGCTGCATGCGGTCTGCTTAGAGCACTCCCGGCGTGCCCTGCCGTAGAGAGTGTGGGAGCCCAAGTCAGCGTCCACCACAGCTGAACAGCAGCCTCCCTGGTATGCAGGTTGTGAGCTCACCCGTGCTCCTCATTAATTTGTACTCTCATGGGTCCCAGGCTGGAGGCCTGAAGACTGGAGTTGAGAGAGGAATTTTTTTTCCGGGAGTTTTGAGGAGAAGGTGGGAGTAGCTGCAGGGATGGGGGAGGTAGATGGAGAGAACGGGATCTCCAGGACGCCGAGGACTGGGTGCTTCTCGGACAGTGCCTGAAAGGGGGCGCGGCTGGGCTTGGGCACTTGGTCAAGACCTCAGTGAGTCCCACGTAGATGGGCCTTAGTGCTGGAAAGTTCTGCGGGTCATCTAATCGCTACATAGTTCACTTCAATTGAGCAAAGTGAGGACAATGACAATGCAGTGAGCTTTTTACTGAGCCAAACAAATCCAGCTGGAAGGATCAGTCTTCATTCTGAGACTATACCCTTTTTTGCTTTTTGAGTTAAAATGCCCTTTCTTTCATGAAATAATGGTGATGGCAGGTGGTAGTTAGCCTGGTTTTCTTCTTTCTCTAAAATTGCTGTTTCTCTAAAATTACTCAGTGGAATAAAAAGCTGGTGACCCATATGGTTCCCTCTGTTAAGCTTTTAATATTTTATTGGTCCATGAAATTCAAGGATCCAGGAGCCTCAATTTAGTGCCTCATTTGGAGAAGAGGAGAGGAAGCCCCCGAGAACAGTGGGCTTGCCCAGGTCCCATCGTCAGTGAGCGGGGCTCACGTTTCTGATCACTCCTCTCTGTCCTCCACAACCTCTCCTGGTCTGTCTGCTGCCTCTCCCCTGAGACCCATCAAAGCCACCTCCCTGTAGCATGGATGGGAGCTCCTCAGGGCCTGGCCTTTGTCTTGTTTATGTCCTGTGTTGAGGAGAGTTGCCAGAGCATCATAAATGTCCTATAAATGTTGGTTGACTGAAAATGAATAAAATTTAAACTAAAACTCAGGGGTGAGAGATAGGGAATCTTATAAATATATTATACAGCTATGTATCTACTTACATCTAACATATATAGATAGGAAAGCCTTAAACTAATGGGACTAACACTAATGATCCGATTTTAGGCAACTCTGAGTGGTCAGAAGAATATAACGCCAGGCATATTGGCACATAGTAGATGCTCAATAAATATCAGATGTATGAATGAATAACAAATAATGAATAAAGTTTAAAATATCATCCTGTCAGGGGTGAAGGGAGTAGCATTCTTACTTTCACAGGATCTAAAGCTTAAACTGAAAGCACGTGGCTGCAGTGGGGCTTTTGGAAGACACTGAGGTCTCCAGAGCATTCCAGAAACTATTCCTCATGGGCAGCCCCGCTTTGTCTGTAAGCTGGAGGGCTGGTTCCGGGTTGGACTCTTTAGGAGATGAGCTCTGGGCTGCTGGCCCCTTGGCCTGAGCATCAGTGGCCCAGGATCTGGAACTTCAGCTGAGGGAGAGAACTGGCCTCTGCCCAGAGCAAGGCTGCAGCTGACACCTTTTTTAAACACAGGGAGTGTGCTGGGGTAGTGCTTTGCCCTGAAAGCCTGACATTTATCTAGCTGGAAAAGAGAGGACGCCAGTGTTTACATTTGCTGCGGTCCTGGTGTACACAGAGCTTAGAAGCTCTTAACACAAAATGAGTTCACTTCTCAACACCAGGCTCCAGCAAAATCTGCCTATTTATGGCAGGCAGAGGAGGAAGTAGGCGAGGCTTGTCCTAGGAGGAGGCACCCCAACACCTCCATGCTGACTGGCTCACTGGGGGTTATCCAGAGGCGGCCTGGGTGCAGACAGAGGGAACTTGGTGTCTGCCCAGGGTGCCGGCGGGCGTGGCAACAAGCTCTGCGGCGTGGGTGAGGTGTGGAAAGGGGGCTGACGAAGGGCCGAGCAAGCCCTGGGCCCTGCAGCAGGTCTGTTGACTGGGCAGGTGCTCCAATGATTGTCCCAGAGTTAGGAAAAAAAGTCACATCTCTACCTTCATAAAGCTTCTGGCCAAGCCGGGGGCCACGTCCCAGCGTAGCAGAGAGAACTTGCCATACCCATGTGTCAAACGGCTGACACCATGAGCTTCAAGTTTTAGAGGAGGGAAAGAGAGGAGTTTGGGGTTTTGAGGGGTGAGTGGCACTGCCACTGGAATGGCTCCTGGAAGTA